TACAAACACTGAAACATAGATATAGACAATTTTCATGTAATAAATCTGTGCAGTGTGCTTACAAATTAAAATATAGATTTATTCCACAATAATTTGTATACATTTTTTTGATTCTTGTATATTATTTAATAATTTATCAAACATTAGTATTACGCATGTGAGTTGGATACCCGTTGAGGACATTTTATTGGTAAGTTAGCTAGGCACTTTGCTGTAAAAAAAAATTATAACATATATTATTATTATTATTATATATTTATACAAATTTAATTATTGTTTGATTTTAGGTGAATCAAAAAGTTTTGTTTTTAGGTAAATGTAAGGCTATGTAATACTGAATAATATGCATTACTGACTTGTTATGCCTATCAATATTATTCATATTTTGATAACACCTAGCTTCATTTACAATGGTATGACACCGTAGAACTGTTCTAGACATATTTTTTTCATATTAAAATTTAGCATAAAGGTAGGTAAAAATTTCTATTAACTGTTCATTTGATTATTGGTCCCATGACTGATGGTTAAATGTGTTTCTATTGTATTCCACTTTTTCTGTTTTTATCTTTAATCCTATATGTTTTGTGGTTTCTATCAATATTTTTGATTGCCTTTTGAGTTGTTCTTTATTTTCCTCCAACAGGACTATATGTCTGCAAATGCTAATTCAATGTTTGCTTCTCCTATCCTGAGACCTTCCTGATCCATTCCTAATTTCCCTTACTACTTTTTCTAGCGCTTTATTGAATAAGATAGGAGACAAGGCATCACCTTGTCTCAACCCGTTGTCAGTTTGTCACTTGTATTACATTTGAAGTTGAGTGTTCTACTTTAAACTTAATGCCAGTATGTTCAATACTCATTTTTATGAAATTTATTAACTTCTGGAGCATTTCCAACTCCTTTAGAACATTAATCAAGGATTCACTATGTATTGAGTCTTAAGCTTTTCTGAAATCAACAAACTGCATATGGACACCTTTGACCAAAATTTATAAAATATTAATGCATAATTTTTTAACTGTAACATTCCATTTTGATATTAAGGTATTATATTTTACTGTATATTTTTAGATCTTCAAATTAATTTCAAAGAAGTGTAAAAAACTAACTACAACCAACTACATATCATAGGAAAAATATTATCAACACTACATAATATTAATAGACAACTAAAAAATAATGAGCAACAATTTTAAATGCATATTATATATTGTAATTTAAATAATATTTTATAGTTAAATTGAATAAGGTTAAAAAATCAATTATTTAAACATAAAAAAAAATTTCTGTGTCGATTAATTTAATAAAAAACATATTACATGTATAATTATTATTATTAATTATATTTAAATTATCAGTAATCATTATGCTATATGTATATTATATAATATTCTTAATTTATATATTCATAATTTAATCTTATATTTTTACTTAAAATTATACTTACCTATTGTATGGCATAATATAATGCTTAATATTGATGGTTATCCTGTAAATGATTGGTGTTGTAATCTACTTATTGTTAGATAATAATTATTACTAAAGTAATCAATTTGAGCTGTAATATTAATATCTTTTTAAATCTTACTATTGTTTTAAGTGTAGGGTTATTAGAGTGTTTATTTGATTTTTTGAATACATTTTATATCATTACTCATAATTTGCATACCTTTATAGTGAAAATTTTGATTAAACTGAATCATCTAACTTGAAATAGATGTTTCATAGTCCTTTGCTTTAAAATAATAATTAAAATTTGTTAGTGTTTCATAATAATATTAATGATTTATTTAATCTAAAATATAATCATTAAATCATTAATTAAAAGTTTTTGTATATTATTTAAACAAATGTATTATATGTGAATGTATTTGTGCATTAATGTTTATTAAGAAATAAAATAAAATTGCATTGAATTAAGATAGCAGATTATAAATTTATGATTGTATAACATAGAGCAAAATTTAGAAAGTTTTTTTTTTGATGTTTAATAAAATATGTTTAATATATATGGAATATTGCAAATATCTAAAAATGTATAATGGTCATTTATACTCAAATAAGCAAATAAAAAAATTATAATAATTTATTAACTGTATCATAATAATATACTTTACATAAAACCTGGACATTAAAAATTTAAATTAGTTTTTTTTTGTATAATCTTTAAATGTGTTTAACAACATGATTATATTTTATTTCATCATATTTCTAATATATTATTATTTTACTATTTTTATTATAATATTAATATTTTGTTTTATCTAAACTTACTTACTACGCCATATGTTACTTAATGAATTTATAGATATGTGGGCAAAAAATTATAATAATTTATTAACTGTAACATAATAATATATATTTACATAAAACATGGACATTAAAAATTTAAATTAGTTCTTTTTGTATAATCTTTAATTGTGTTTAACAACATGATTATATTTTATTTTATCATACTTCTATTATATTATTATTTTACTATTTTTATTGTAATATTAATATTTTGTTTTATCTTAACTTACTTACTCCATATATATACTTACCCCATATAATATTTAATTGATGCATTTATAGATATGTGTCCAATATTTTTTTAGAAAGTTTTTAATAAATAAAATGAAATTATATAGATAGCCAATATTGTTATTTTATCATGACTAAATAATTGTATTATCTATCTTAATTTTTTTATTCTTTCACAATGAGTTAGTTGTAGTTCCTGTACACTTTGTAAGCATGAAGTATCATGAATAGTATAAGTATATACTTTTTAGCTATTCTTTACACAAAATAATATAAACAAACTTGTTTCTTTAAAAAGAAGTGTATTAACTAAGGATCACATTTCATCACAGGTTTTATTAATTGTACTGGACCACCAATATTGATAAATTCCACTCATACATTTTTAATATAATATATTACATACAAAATTTGGATAGTAACAAGAAAAATAAGGTGCATATGAACCATTTTGCCCGAAAAGAAAAAAGAAAGATGAGGCTTATATGTGTTTATGGTTAAATTTGAATACATTTTTACCTAAACTGGCTATATTTGTATTTATAAATACATATTATTTATTTACCTCCTTATTGATAATAGAATAAAAATGAATTTGTCCTTAGTAATAATGTTATCAATTTCTATTAAAATAAGGAACTGAAAAACTAACATTATTATTTTTATTATACATTACGAAAAAGGTTAAACTTTGTAGCAACAAGTAATGACTAACAAATATTTAAGAAACCTATTCAAGATGATGTGAAACTTATAAGACTAACTAGATATATTTAGTGTTATGGTTTTTCATTTAAAATTTCAATTAAGTATGTACTTTGGTAGTTTGGAAAATTTTTGATTTTTATATAATATCATTATTATTATTATTATTATTATTGTGTGCCTAAATATTTATTGGTTATAACTGTTTGCATTGACCCACAACTAGCAAAGTTAGTAATTGTTTCTTTTTAATTCTATTATTTTTATAATTTTAAAAACTGTTTTGTATAAGATTTAAGCTTATGAGTTTGTATCATTTATAAAGAGTTAGTTAATGGAGTAGACATTAAGAATGTGTAATGATATAATTTTTTTTAATTTTTTTAAATTTTTTTTTAATCAAATACTAAATTTGTATTTTTGAATTTTGTAATAAACCAACTCAATATTCACTTTGTTATACCTTATTTATACCTGATTTAAAATTCCATGGAAAATTATTGAGAAAACTTAAAAACAATTTTATATCGCACACTATTTGTTCAAACTTAAAATATTACTATTCTTATAAGGTATTATATTTTGTAATAGGCGGGTTATGTCTATAATCAAAATATTTTTACTTAGAGAACTTAAGTTCTTATCGCTATAACTTAAAAAATAATAATAATAAAAAAATCTCAATATTCAATATGAAAACGTGATTGAATATTTTTTTATTTTTTAAAACTACCACAATTCAAATTGGAAATTAGTAAGTTAGTATTTTGTCATAATGTGATTTGTAAAATTAACAAAATTTCCTAGATGACCAGTAACAAGTGAAAAAGTTGACGATTAGTTTTGAATATCAATTACCTTTTTATGTTTTTAATTTTAACACAATATTGAGTTCATAATCTAAACACTATTGTGTGTCAATACATCATATAGAAAATATAAATATATATATATAACTCAACAATAGGTGTGCAGCTTTTAATATTATACTTATTAAGTATAATTTAATATTTCGGGAATAAACCATGTGTTTAACATTAATTATCCTAATTTTCTAAATTCATAAACTCTATAAGTTTAATTATTTTCACTATGAATATAACAATTTTACAATAAGTTCATTGTATAATAATGGAAATCCTCAATTATCCATTGAAAGCGGCCACTAAAGTACGATCTAAACCACGATAACAAGGGTCACACAATTATAGAGTCTTGCAAGACAGAAAGAAGTATTGGGTTGCTCACATGATCAAAAGCTTTTGCAGGCCAAGAAAAATGACATTCTTTGCGAACAACATTTTTCATGATATATAGTTACAGAAAACGGAGAGTTGGTAACTGAGGAATGTGAAGGGCGAATGCCATGTTGCTCGTCTACGAGAATATTATTTTCTGATAATTTCATGTTCGGCTAAAATACGGTTTGGCTGCATTATAGCCCTATCTTTTATATGTAATGTTTTTTATAGGATAAAATGATGTATAAATCGAGTAAATATCTAAATGTTTTATAAAATAATTTCCATCGTATTGTAAATGTCGATTGTTGGGATTGATATTCGGAAAAAAAGTTGGCATTAGAAGAAATAATAAATCACATTGTTTATCACATTCATCCCTCTAGTTAAACACTATTTAATCTACAAAATATCAGGTTTCAGATAAGGCTTGATTGATCACTAACTGTCTAGAAGATCGAAGAGCAGCTGACAATAGGAATACATGATACAAAGACAAACCACCACTTCTGAAAACGTTTCAAAATGAGTAATTAATATTTATAATATAATAATATAATTAAACAAAAAAAGACTGCACCATATACATTATGGTTGTTACTTTAACCATTGTAGTATAGGGATAATAATGTCTTTTGGATATTTTGGAAAATTGCAATAAATACAGCATTATAAAAATAAAATAATTAGTCAATTGTATAAATTTCATCTCAATTTGCTATTATAGCTCAGGAAATTTTGTTTGCTCGCGCCAATTAAATCGCAAATTTTACTCAGCGAGATAAACGTTTATAAACATTATGTAGCTGAACATTTATGAGATACGTAATAACTGGTGAATTTTGTTTTACTTATCCTTTGATTACACGTAGCTGTAGGTGAAGTGATTTTGTCGTGATATCACCTCGTATTTGGGATTAATTTCAACGTGCATCACTGTGAAAATTTTATCCTATTCTTAGTTGCACATTATTATTATTAGTTCAGAATAATTTCNTCATATATGTGAAAAATCTTTAAGTGATTTACCACCAATACTAGTGAAAAAAAAATAAAATACTTGATGAAACTATTAATTATTGTCAATCTGAAAATTTAGATTTAGAAAATATAGAAAATATAGAAAAAGAAACTGAATATTTTAAAAAGCAGCTTGATGAATTAATTAAAGAAAAACAGGTGTTCTTTGAAGAACTTGAAGATAATATAAAAAAGGTTAAAGATCACGATCACTTAACAGGAAAATATCGAAGAGCTGCTCATTCTATATGTAACTTAAATTATAAGGTTTCTAGATTTATTCCAGTATTTTTCCACAATCTATCTGGTTATGACGCACATTTATTCATAAAAAAATTAAGTATTGATAAAAATAATATAAAAACAATTACAATTAGTGAAGAAAATGATGTATCATTTTCAAAAAATATACAATATATACATATAAATCCAATTACCAAAAACCCTGTTTTAGATCTGAAAGGAAAACCTATTTTTAAAACAGTTGAAATATGATTTCTTGATTCTTTCAAGTTCTTGTCTAGTTCATTAGAAAAATTAGCTAATACTTTAAAACCATACCAGTTTAAAGAACTATCTAAACATTATCCTGAACAATTGGATTTAGTAAAAGGAAAATTAGCATATCCTTATGAATATATGGATTCTCCAGAAAAATATGATGAAGAATCTCTACCTAATATAGATAAATTGTGCAGCTCTCTTACATGTGAACATGTAACACAGAATGCATATGAAAATGTTAAAAAAAATATGGGAAAGATTCGAACTAAAAAATATGAAAGATTTTACCATACTTTATAATAAAATATATGTATTATTACTTACAGATGTAATAGAAAATTATAGAGATGTTTCAATAAGACATTTTAAGTTGGATCCTGTTCATTATTATATAACTCCAGGTTTAGCGTGGAATGCTATGCTTAGAAAAACAGGTGTAGAATTAGAACTAATGAGAGATATTGATATGTATTTAATGTTTGAACAAGGAATTAAATGAGAATTATCTCAATGTAGTATTAGATATTCTAAAGCAAGTAATTAATATATTGGAGAGAAAAGAAAAGAAAAAAAATCAACGAAATATCTCTTAGATTTGGTTGCAAATATGGATGGGCAATGTATAAATATTTACCATATAAAGGATTTAAATAGTGTAATCCTGATTTGTTTAATACAGAAAAAATTTTAAGAATGAAAGATGACCAGGAAAAGGGTTATATTTTCGAAGTAGATTTGAAATATCGTGAAGAGCTTCACGATCTTCATTCTGATTATCCATTGGCTCCCGAAAATGTGTTTGATACTAAAGAATTACCAAAATTAACAACAACTCTATATGATAAGAAAAAATATATTCTACATTATAATAATCTTATTTTATATTTATGTTTAGGTTTAAAATTAGAGAAAATATATAATAGAATTTGATCAAAAAGATTGGTTAAAACCATATATAGAATTTAACACAAATCTTCGTTTTGCAAAAACAGATAATAAATTTGAAAAAGATTATTATAAGTTAATGAACAACAGTATATTTGGTAGGACTATAACACAAGGAATCATAAAGATATGGAATTAATTAACGATGGAAATAAATTAGAAAAATGGGTTGCTAAACCAAATTTTGATCGACCAACTATTTTTACGGAAAACTTAGTAGCTATACATATGAAAGAATCTATGGTTGAATTGAAACAACACATTTATTTAGGAATGTGTATTTTAGATTTATCTAAAACCCGAATGTATGATTTTTATTATAACGTATTGAAAAATATATCAGATTATTATACACAGACACAAATTCTTTAATAGTAGAAATTTCAACTGATGATTTTTATACAGATGTAAATAACAATAAACAACTATTAAATGAATTTGATTTTTCAGATTATTCTAAGAATAATAAATATGGAATACCACAAAAAAATAAAAAAGTTCCAGGTAAATTTAAAGATGAGCATAATGGGCAAATAATAACTGAATTTGTTGGGTTAAGATCTAAATTATATTCATTTCAAGTATTTGAAAATTAAAATAAAATTAAAAAAGCAAAAGGTGTGAAAAAACCGACAGTTAAAAATGAATTATACTTTAATGATTTTTATAATTGTTTAAATAGTAAAAATCCAAAATATGTAAAACAGAACACTTTTAGAACAGATAAACATGAAAGATATACTGTTGAAAAAAATAAAAAAGCTCTTAGTGAATATGATAATAAAAGATATATTCTAGATAATAATATAAATACATTATGGGGACATTATTCAACAAACATGGAAAGAGAAAGTTTCAGAGAACACCTTGATAATTTAATAAAAACAAATAGTACAAAAGAATGATAGTTTGAATATAAATTATGTGTACAAAGAAATAAACAATAAAGTCATTGGTATGAATTAAAAGGAACAACAATGATATTTGAAACAATAATAGAATGTTCTTATGAACATAAATTTCCTAATAATGAAAAACAAGCTTAAATCAGGAATTGTAATGTTATTGATACATTATTGGTAGATGTATAATATCTTAATACCACAATAAAATAATATTAGGTATACACAATTTGAAATAATTAATCATTATCGATTTGTATGCAATGTTCAGGGACGATGTGTAATCTATTATATGATCTAATATATTGTTTATTTTTTGTTAAAGAGAACTGTTTTTAGTGCAATATTTATGTAAATTGTTTTTATTATTATTTTTAAATATTTTTTTTATAATTTATTTTTTTAATATTATTTTTTATTTTATGCATATAGAAAAGACAGGAAATAAAAACAATGTAAATATAAATTAGAAATTAGTTTTTAAAGTGAAGAATATCATGCTGTGCCAGAACCAGCATATTTATACTACTAATAATATTAATATATTTATTTATGTTTTATTAAAATAAATACATTAATATTATTTTATAATACCTTTTTTTCAGCCATTGACGAGAAGAGCATATTTGTTTTGAATATATGTCTCATAGGTACTCTGTATTTACTATCCAATGGTGTTTTAAATGGCAAAAACGTATTACATACTATTAAAGAATATGGAGTAAAGTCCAACCACTTGACAGGAATCTTGACACCTTTTGAATCTGTAAATTATTTTCGATTAATTTACGGACAATTAAATATCTAAAATAATGTTTTTCTGTCGTTTTAAATAAAACTTTTGAACTGTTAATTAAAGTCACATTTTTTAATTTACCATATTATTCAACAGACATAATATTAAGCTCAGCAAAATGATTAGGTTTTATTAAAGTTTTAAAATCGTGAATTACAATTTTTCCAATCCGTGTTATTTTAGTTTTACTCTCTTCACTAGTGTTCATAATTTCAAACGCATCTAATTTTCTATACAGCTAACTTGTTATTTTTATCACTTAAACCTTTTTTCTCTTTCTTACACATAATTTAGAAATGATTTAATAAACCACAGTAACCACATATTTTCCAGATGCTGGACACATGTCAATCTTATGATTTTTACCACGAGTACAATAATTTACAATATAATAACATTGGTTTTCTTATTATTAAATTCATAAAAAAAATGCTTTAATATATTTAACATCTTTATAACCTGACTTAGAATTTGACTCCTGTGTAGACCGACCATTCGAATTTGTTCTATACTTTGGCTTTTGATTTATTTCAATATTGAACAACGATTTACTCGTAGTATTGTTTTCCCGGATGACTTTTCTGTTGAGCTTAGTTTGCTCTGGAGCACGCCAATGATTAACCGCTCTTTCAAGCGGTGGGTACTCTCTTAACAAACTAGTTTGGACATCATTGTTTGAAATACCAAGCACAATTTGAATCCTCAGCAATTTTTCCTTAAATTGATCAAAACCACACGTTTTGATCAATTGTCTCGAATCTGTTTTACCACAAGAAGTACAATTATTTACAATATAATTACATTTTTTTAAAAAGAAGCATTATTATATTTAACAATTTGTATAACCTGACATAGAATTTGACTCCTGTGTAGACCGACCATTTGAATTTGTTCCATACTTTGGCTTTTGACTTGTTTCCATGTTGAACAATAATTTGGTATTGTCTTCCCGAATGACTCTTCTGTTGCTCTCAGTTTGCTCTGCAGCACGACATTCATTCACCACTCTTTCAAGTGGGAGGTCCTCCATTAACAAACTAGTTTGGACATCCTTGTTTGAAATACCAAGCACAATTTGAATCCTCAGCAATTTTTCCTCAAATTGATCGAAACCACACGTTTTGATCAATTGTTTCAAATCCGTGTAGAAATTTTCAAACGGTTCCTCAGCACCTTGATTACGAGTAAAAAATAAGTACTGTCCCATAATTTCGTTTTTTCTTGAAATACAATAACATTCCAGTGCGTTTAAAATTTCACACACTGTTTCATTTTTCACTTTAAGTGTATTGTAGACTTTCAAACCATCTGGTCCCAGCAAATTTAATAGGATCGCTACCTGAGTCGCCTCTTTCTTCATGTGACATTCAGTTGCATCAAAAAAAATTTGAAACTCTTGTTTAAACATTTTAAAGTTGTCAATTAAATTACCAGTCATTTTTAGAGGGGATGGCTTATTGAATTCCATGTTCTTTATTCTTTATCCAGTTTAATCTGTGTTTATAATGCACGTTCCCTCGACTGCGCAATGTTATAAATTATGTTTTACGTCGTTATAAAAGAAACCATTTAAATTAAATATTATAAAATACAAAATAAAACACAAATCTTAAAAGAATATCAATTCACCGTGTGCGAACACAATACTTTTTATTACTTTAATGATTGTTTTCTTAACAGTTTATCATACTATTACTGTAGCGCAATCAACATGACAAAATAGGCAGTGTTACCACTGCAACAGAGAAGATAAGGTGACTCGTGCCTATTTGCGGGGGACGTGTAGAAATTACGAAAATATTTCGTTAGAATGACACTGTACTAGAAATATAAAACCGTCGGAAAATAAATAATCCGGAAAAATATTTACGTCGAACCGTGTTTGTACAGAAAAATGATTTTATCGAAAATATTTTATATGAAAATATATAATCGGATTAATATTAGGTACCTAAGGTGATTTCACTGTTTTCTCATATCATCTGTTGAAACGTTGAACATTGATAAAAACTATAGATTCAGTTGTTCTAGCGCAGCGAGAACGGGTCCAACGGATTTTCCTAGCTTTTGCGGATTATATATTGAATATGTATCATCCCTCTCACGATTACTCTGTGGTTCGAAATTAACTGGGCCTGATTACCTTGGCTGACAGATGTTTGAAAGCAATTCTTTCTATTTATTCAAAACTACTCCATAGTGCATTTGACAGCCCAACATTATGCGTTAGTCGCGTTCCCGAGCATTATTCCTCACTCCTATCCATTATACTAATTTTGGGTAAAACACCACCCCTTTATACATGATAACTCAAACAAAAAATGATCTCCCTAAAATATCACCCCAGTCAGTTAAATACTGTTATGACATGATGTCATAACAGTATTTAAGAAGATGTAAAGTATTTTAAGTATTTATTCATCTATTTAATCATATTTATGCAGCATTATAAAAATAAAATAATTAGTCAATTGTATAAATTTCATCTCAATTTGCTATTATAGCTCAGGAAATTTTGTTTGCTCGCGCCAATTAAATCGCAAATTTTACTCAGCGAGATAAACGATGTCACAACATTATGATGCTGAACATTTATGAGATACGTAATAACTGGTGAATTTTGTTTTACTTATCCTTTGATTACACGTAGCTGTAGGTGAAGTGATTTTGTCGTGATATCACCTCGTATTTGGGATTAATTTCAACGTGCATCACTGTGAAAATTTTATCCTATTCTTAGTTGCACATTATTATTATTAGTTCAGAATAATTTCGCATTGCATCCTAGCAACACCTAAAGGTAATTTTAATTTACGCGTAAGCGTATTGGTTCATATCAATATCTCTCTTTGGTAAAAATTCGTAAATTAACGACCATCAATTCCGTTCTATTAAGCCATTTTTTATTCAATTAATAAACCTCAAAGTATAGTTAGAAAATTTGATAAAATTAATTTCGATTTCCTCTTGGAAAAAAAAAAAAAAATGTTTTCAACGTTTAAAATAGTTTTTATAGCATTTGTTAACCTCTTTTTTATTTAAGTGCATTTTATTGTATTTATTTATGGAATTTTTCTAGTTTTTTTGAGCATTTAAATCCGCACCGTTATAATAACTAATTACATTTACTCTTACTAAAAAATAAGTAAATTAACTAAGACGAATAACAATAAATAAACAGATAGATTTTAAGTAAATAACGTAACAAACATATAAACATTTGAACATTAGAGTTTGACAAATAACTGTAACTATTACTTTTAACTATTGTATCATAATGACGTTGATGATACCTAGAATATACCTATTCTGAACGCATTAAAATGGAGTTTCTAGGCGAGTTAACCAATTAAATGCCTCTGTCCCAACCTCGTGTAGATCTGCTATGCTGCCTTTAAATGTTGTATTTAGATACTTTTCAGATATGTGCCTGATTGTTTGTACACGTGCTTTTTATTTTCTACTACAATTCAAATAATGTATAATTAATTTCAAAATTATAATAATTTTACGATGTTTGGTATTCTAATGTCGAACATTTTTTTCTTTTTTTTTTTTTTTGGTTCTATGAATTACAATATTTTCATATTTTTACAGAACCAATGAATCTTGTTTTCTCCTTTGCAAAATACGTACGATTAAACAAAATATATACAGTAAAACCCCTCTAATCACCTTTGACTTTTAAAATGATGTGCCCTATAAGAAAGGGCGCATCACAGGACATAGATTTTAGATTATGTAACCAGAACCCACAAACAATAAAGTCTTAAACAAAATGGCCAAAATTTGTAATTTTCAAACTGTTATCAAAGAGCTTAGAAATATAATATTGAAAATCGAAAATTAAATCTAAGTACTTATCCATAATTTAAAACTGTATACACGTAAATAATACATTAAATATGCAATTAGATCGAGCAACGTTTCTCAAACAACGGACTACACTACAAATTTAAATGATAAAAAAATGATTATAATATAATTATCATAGAAAATGCTCGAATTATAATATAAATAAATTAATCCTACTTTATTGTTTATAGTACTTGGAAGCAAAGTTTACATTGATTTGGTGTTGTAGGTTCTTCAATCTTCATACCTATGATATAGTTCATCTATGTATGACTGTCTGGTAATTCCTGGAGGTCTATAAAAGTGTATACAATATAATTTCATCATCTTGTATGTTCATAATGGTACAATTTATCTTTTACCTAGCTGCTGCAAATTCTTGCAAGGCACTATTCACAGTATAATGTAATACTTCTATCAACCAAGCGACTATTAAGAATCCAGTCCGGTTTAGACCACGGGTACAATGGACACCTAGAAAAAATAAAGTATCAACAATTTATGATTTGTTAAGTGGCAGTTGTTTCTTTTAATAACCAAACCAAATATTAAATTACTTATGTATCCCGTCCACCAAGATATTTTTTCAAAAATTAAAAATAAATATAACTTACCAATGTATAGGTTAGGGTTGCTATTAACAAAATCCCAACAAATATCCAAAAATGATTCTACTTCTTTACAGGTAGGTGGTATTCCACGACCTGCTAAAGGTAATTTCACATAGCGACAATTATTATTGATAACTTCCAATGGATCATAGTAACGATTTGAATTTGTCAGATCAATCCATAATCCTAAATCAACCTAAAATGATTTGGTTTATTTACTAAATATAATATTATGTTATAGAAATATNAATTGATCATAGTAACGATTTGAATTTGTCAGATCAATCCATAATCCTAAATCAACCTAAAATGATTTGGTTTATTTACTAAATATAATATTATGTTATAGAAATATCTGAACACAAATTTTAGTATAATAACCCTAATAACTTTAATAAATATGATATAGACTGTACATCATTACACCGTTGGGATAATTTTCATAACTCTCAATATTTTTACAATTTAAAAATACAGGAATCTGAAGATAATATAACCAAAGAAATATTTGAAGTATTTATGTGTTGAAACTACACCCATTAAGTAATAAAAATAAAATATTTGTTGTCTGTTCATGAGATATTTATCATGAATCTAGATTAAATCACCTAAGCAATTTCGAATATTTTTAGAATTCATAACATTCATTTTGATTTTAATAAATATTTTAGTGTATATTTATATCTTAGTACATTGCTCTTGTGATTTTCTTCTGGTTGCCTTTTCCTCTAAATTATTATCAAAAATAAAACAAATTATATTTCTGAATCAATGTGGGAGTGATTCACAGACTTTGTATTATTTTAATATTATATGGGCAAAGTAGATTAATTTTATTTGGACTTATTTATTTGACTTGCTTCAGTTTTGACACCTAATTAGGTTAGATCACTAGTCTGTCTCACATTAGTATAGTTGTTTTTCCGTTCTTACCCTTGTGTAGGAGCCTAACCAAAAACTTTGGGCATGAGGTAGTTTTAAAGTTATACAAGATCAATGAATCAGTTTACAAAAAAATTAAAATTGAATTTCTTTGATAACAAACACATTTTTTCCCATTATTTTTTTAATAAAATATAAATAAATGTATTAATATTATTCTGTGATACCTTTATTTCAGCCATTGACAAGAAGAGCATATCTGTTTTGAATATATGTCTCATAGGTACTCTGTATTTACTATCCACAAAAAAATTAAAATTGAATTTCTTTGATAACAAACACATTTTTTCCCATTATTTTTTTAATAAAATATAAATAAATACATTAATATTATTTTATAATACCTTTTTTTCAGCCATTGACGAGAAGAGCATATTTGTTTTGAATATATGTCTCATAGGTACTCTGTATTTACTATCCAATGGTGTTTTAAATGGCAAAAACGTATTACATACTATTAAAGAATATGGAGTAAAGTCCAACCACTTGACAGGAATCTTGACACCTTTTGAATCTGTAAATTATTTTCGATTAATTTACGGACAATTAAATATCTAAAATAATGTTTTTCTGTCGTTTTAAATAAAACTTTTGAACTGTTAATTAAAGTCACATTTTTTAATTTACCATATTATTCAACAGACATAATATTAAGCTCAGCAAAATGATTAGGTTTTATTAAAGTTTTAAAATCGTGAATTACAATTTTTCCAATCCGTGTTATTTTAGTTTTACTCTCTTCACTAGTGTTCATAATTTCAAATGCATCTAATTTTCTATACAGCTAACTTGTTATTTTTATCACTTACACCTTTTTTCTCTTTCTTACACATAATTTAGAAATGATTTAATAAACCACAGTAACCACATATTTTCCAGATGCTTGACACATGTCAATCTTATGATTTTTACCACGAGTACAATAATTTACAATATAATAACATTGGTTTTCTTATTATTAAATTCATAAAAAAAATGCTTTAATATATTTAACATCTTTATAACCTGACTTAGAATTTGACTCCTGTGTTGACCGACCATTCGAATTTCTTCCATACTTTGGCTTTTGACTTATTTCAATATTGAACAACGATTTACTCGTAGTATTGTTTTCCTGGATGACTTTTCTGTTGCGCTTAGTTTGCTCTGGAGCACGCCAATGATTAACCGCTCTTTCAAGCGGTAGGTACTCTCTTAACAAACTAGTTTGGACATCCTTGTTTGAAATACCAAGCACAATTTGAATCCTCAGCAATTTTTCCTTAAATTGATCAAAACCACACGTTTTGATCAATTGTCTCGAATCTGTTTTACCACAAGAAGTACAATTAAGCATTATTATATTTAACAATTTGTATAACCTGACTTAGAATTTGACTCCTGTGTAGACCGACCATTCGAATTTGTTCTATACTTTGGCTTTTGATTTATTTCAATATTGAACAACGATTTACTCGTAGTATTGTTTTCCCGGATGACTTTTCTGTTGAGCTTAGTTTGCTCTGGAGCACGCCAATGATTAACCATTCTTTCAAGCGGTGGGTACTCTCTTAACAAACTAGTTTGGACATCCTTGTTTGAAATACCAAGCACAATTTGAATCCTCAGCAATTTTTCCTCAAATTGATCGAAACCACACGTTTTGATCAATTGTTTCAAATCCGTGTAGAAATTTTCAAACGGTTCCTCAGCACCTTGATTACGAGTAAAAAATAAGTACTGTCCCATAATTTCGTTTTTTCTTGAAATACAATAACTTTCCAGTGCATTTAAAATTTTACACACTGTTTCATTTTTCACTTTAAGTGTATTGTAGACTTTCAAACCATCTGGTCCCAGCAAATTTAATAGGATCGCTACCTGAGTCGCCTCTTTCTTCATGTGACATTCAGTTGCATCAAAAAAAATTTGAAACTCTTGTTTAAACATTTTAAAGTTGTCAATTAAATTACCAGTCATTTTTAGAGGGGATGGCTTATTGAATTCCATGTTCTTTATTCTTTATCCAGTTCAATCTGTGTTTATAATGCACGTTCCCACGACTGCGCAATGTTATAAATTATGTTTTACGTCGTTATAAAAGAAACCATTTAAATTAAATATTATAAAATACAAAATAAAACACAAATCTTAAAAGAATATCAATTCACCGTGTGCGAACACAATACTTTTTATTACTTTAATGATTGTTTTCTTAACAGTTTATCATACTATTACTGTAGCGCAATCAACATGACAAAATAGGCAGTGTTACCACTGCAACAGAGAAGATACGGTGACTCGTGCCTATTTGCGGGGGACGTGTAGAAAGTACGAAAATATTTCGTTAGAATGACACTGTACTAGAAATATAAAACCGTCGGAAAATAAATAACCCGGAAAAATATTTACGTCGAAACGTATTTGTACAGAAAAATGATTTTATCGAAAATATATTATCGGAATAATATTAGGTACCTAAGGTGATTTCACTGTTTTCTCATATCATCTGTTGAAACGTTGAACATTGATAAAAACTATAGATAAGAATACGATTCAGTTGTTCTAGCGCAGCGAGAACGGGTCCAACGGATTTTCCTATCTTTTGCGGATTATATATTGAAAATGTATCATCCCTCTCACGATTACTCTTTGGTACGAAATTAACTGGGCCTGATTACCTTGGCTGACAGATTTTTGAAAGCAATTCTTTTTATTTATTCAAAACTACTCCATAGTGCATTTGACAGCCCAGCATTATGCGTTAGTCGCGTTCCCGAGCTTTATTCCACACTCCTATCCATTATACTAATTTTGGGAAAAACACCACCCCTTTATACATGATAACTCAAACAAAAAATGATCTCCCTAAAATATCATCCGAGTCAGTTAAATATTGTTATGACATGATGTCATAACAGTATTTAAGAAGATGTAAAGTATTTTAAGTATTTATTCATCTATTCAATCATATTTAAAAATATGCCAAACATATGCCAACAATTTTTGTAAGAGAATCCGCTATGCATTATCTTAGGTAATTTTTTATGGTTTAGCATGAATTCGCTATCATATGAAAAATTGCCGGGGAATTATTGCGAAACGCACAACTATTTATCTACAAATATTACAACTGATTTTTTCTTGAGGATTTATAAAATTTCCGTTTCGTGTGTCTATGATTTTTAACGGTTTTTAATATATCAACATCCGTTTCCGATCGACAGAATATTATAATATTATAGATAAAAATTGATTTTTCATCAAAAATATTTATTTTGTCTGTTAACTTAAAAAAGTATTTTCCAAAACTAATATATAAGTGGTTCTTATTTGGTAATATACATTTTTTAGGTATAAGGTTGTGATCCAAAATAAAATATTTTTGTTTTTCTTTTACTTATTATTATTTTTCGAGTTTTAAGCTTACCAAAGTTTTCTACACCGGGTTCTCAACATTCCACAACAACGAAATGTCGTAATATATATATATATTCGTATGGTAATATCCAAGTAGTAACACAATATATAACAGAAATTACGTGTACTATATTACGAGTATATCAAAGTTCGTGATCTTGACCATAATTCATAATTCGTGAATATTCGCTATAAAAAGCGCGGCAATGTCAATAGTAATACTGTACAAGACGATTCCGTTGGTAGCATTAGCGTTACGCTAAAACAGCTGATTTGTTCAGAAGATTTCTAATTGTATCGACCGATTCTCAACTTGTATATGGTTAATGAGTTTAATCGTGGTAGGTGCTATCCTTCGGTACCGTATTGTTGTTATACGTTCAGTTAAGTTATCCGGACTTAATATTATTTCCTACTGCATGCATATGTACTGTTTATCGTGAACAACACAAACAGTCATCGTTTCGTAGGTTTTTTAATTATTAACTTTTGTTTTGTTTTTCGTTTTTAATTTACGATTTAATTATTATATTTTTATCGTTTTACTACACCTACCCAATATTGCATCAGAGTAATCAATTCGTGTGCCGATATACGTTGGACTTTTCAAACAAGTGATCGATAACGCGATCAAATCTCTGTTCCATACTATTTTTTTTTTTTATTACCGGTCTTCCTTATTTTATACGTTATGTCCGATTTCAGCAGATCATATTTAAGTTTCCTGAGTAACTGGAAATTTGGTTTGACAATCTCTGTCCCGTGTTTCGCGGTAGGCCTGTGCGTTACATTTTACAATTATTTTAAAACATCCAGTAACAACAGACATCTCGGCAAACCGACCGCGAACGCAAGTATTGCTAAAGAAGCTAATGTTCAAAACCCGCTAGAAACTAAAGGAATCGATCAGACAGCCGTCAAAACAAAGGTTGGTATCTTCAATTTTTTTTTTTTTTTTAGTGAATCTAGATTAGTTAAACATAAGTGAACACGTTTCTCATATAAAAGTATATTTTAAAATATACATTACAAATTCTTATCTAGTATATAGTTGGTTTTTTTTCACAGACACTTGTAGAAGAGGTTGAAGATTTAAAAAAACTTGGAAATGCAGAATTTTCAAAAGGAAATTATGATATGGCCAAAACATACTATACACAAGCAATACTAATGTGCCCAGAAACAGAGGAAGCAGTTTTGTCCGTTTTGTTTCAAAATCGAGCTGCCGCTTATTCTAAACTGGTAAGTAAATTCATTACTTAAGTCAGTTTTGTCATAGCAAAACTAGGTTTTTTTTAAATATTAGGTGTAACAATGGTATTATTTGCTTACATGATATTTTCAGAATAATAATGAAAATTGCTTGGCTGATTGTAACAATGCTCTAGCATTAGTACCAGCATACAAAAAAGCGTTATCTCGAAGAGCAAGAGTACTTTCAGAATTAGGGAACTTTAAACTCGCTTTAGAAGATATTACAGCTGTGATTATTTTTAATATGTTTAAAAATCAAGATGACATAATATTTTCAGATAATCTGCTCAAAAGTTTAGGTGAGGTTATTTATTTTTTTTTTCACTAATATAGAATTTAAAAATGTTTTTACAATAATCACTAGTCCTAAAAAAAAAAACTTCACGATAACTGTTAATTTCTTCAAATATTTGAAATTTTAATTATATCATAAGTTAAAATTGATTTTCAGGCGAGCAAAATTTAGAAGAATACACAAAGCACAAGGAATTCAATTTGCCATCAAAAACATTTATTAAACAATTTTTGAAATCATTCCCTGACGACCCATTTTCTGACGAATTTGTACTGACATTATTAAAATCAGACATAAAGTAAGTATTTTAAGAATTATAAGTAGTATTTAATATTAATCATAACATACTTTTACTATCATTAAAAAATCAATAAATAGTTCTTATTACATATGATAAATATATAAAAAAATGTATGTATTAATTAATTTAGTACAGGTTTGGAGTATGCATTCAAATGTATTCAGAATCAAAAGTTCGAAGAAATCGAAAAATCATGTCAAGAAGAATTAAATAAAACTGATAATAGTTTGATTCGTAAAAGTTTTGCATTAAACTTATTAGCTACTTTTTATTTACTCCGCGGAAATTATACTGCTGGTATTAAACATCTTACTACTGTCATCGAAAATCCAAATGTTTCAAACAAGGTATAACAATAAAGTTTTTATATTTATTGATAATTAACATAATTAAAATACATATAATTATCTATATAAAATATGTCTGGGTAATTAAAATACAACAGACTTAACAACTTGGGTAGATAATATGTTACTTAAAGTGTAAAATTGATAAAATACTTATACTAACTTATTCAGATGTTTGATACCTTATTTTAACATTAGAATCCATGGTAAAGTTACTGATAAATATAGTTCTATTTATAATTAATATGCTACTACTTGGTTTCTTTATTCTATTCAGTTGATTCAATATATAATTGTTCAGACTGAGCAATTTGTTTGAGAAAATAAATAAAACTAAAAGTAGTATTTTAAAAAAAAATAGTTTAAAATCTGCATAACTAGTTAGGTATGATGTTTGTGAATGGGTATATAGTGCTTATATATTTTTACTGTTTTTCGCCTTTTTTTGTTCTTTAACTAATTTTGTTTTTTTAAATAACAATTAGAACATTATTTATAATTTTTTTTTTTACAATGTAGACATTTTATGGGGAAAAACTAGTAAAATAATCAAATCTTTCTAAGTCATAGGAAGTTTTAAACATATTTAAATTTTCAATTAATTTAAAAGTTTTATTACACATGGTAAAATATTGTTAACTTTATTTTATTTTATTTTTTATTTTTTTGAAAATTTAATTGATTAAGTTAAATTTTTGATAGTTGATCATAAATTCCTTAATAAAACGAGCATTAGGATATCACCAACATGAAGAAGTTGACAAATGTTTTGAGGATTTCAACCGTGCTGAAGCTATTGATCCCAACAGTTCTTCAGTATATCACCACAGAGCTCAAGTAATATTTAATAGCATTAGTAAACATTTTCAGAAAGTCATACTATAGTAACAAAAATCATTAATTTTTTTTTTTAGATTTATTTAAAGAGAATGAACACTGAGGAAGCAGTTAAAAATTTCAAGAAATCTCTAGAATTGAATCCTAATTTTGTTTTGTCTACTGCTTATTATTATTTTGCTCAATACCGTCATGCCAAAAAAGTATCAAATAAATTATATGTTGAACATTTCTTGATACAATTGGGAGATTTTGTGATGAATTACCCAAATATTGCTGAAAGTATAACATTTTACACCCGGGTAGAAAAATATATTATGAAATAGTGTAGTTTTTAAAATTAAAAATGTATACATTTATGTTTATATATAGGCTTTATTGGAAACTGGAGCTTATGAAGAAGCAGATTTAGTGTTTAAAAACGCACTTGAAATTCATCCAGACCAAGCTGATTTCCTAGTACATAGAGGTAAACTTGTGTTCGTTAAATGTAAAACTCTCGGTTTTAGGATATAAAGCATAGCACTGCCTATAAAACATGAAGTTTTTACCTAATAATTATTAAAGTAGTTTAACTAATTATTATGTTGTTTACTTTCATGTACTTTTATTATTCAATTTTTTTGCTATTAATATTTAACTTAAACAAATTTATAGTTACTACAAAAAAATATAGAGAACTATAGATTAGTCAGGAAAAAAATTGTTTTTTAATATGAATATAATATTATTTATGTAGTATTTTATAGTAAATATACTGGAAAATCGAGTAATTTTGAAAATCTAACAACCTTGACTGCACATTTCTATATAAAATCAACTAGTTTACTAGAAATAAATTGTTTTTTTTCAGCATTGATCGCATCATCATGGAAAATTAATGGTATACCTGATGCATTTAAACTCCTTGAACAAGCATTAAACATTGATCCGAAATGTAATTTTGCGTATGATGCACTTGGAGCACTTTACATGCAAGTGTAAGATATTAAAAGCAAATGTTTATAATATTTTAAAATAATTATTTTATTTCAATACCATTCTGTTAAGATATTTTTGAATTTTGAATTGAAAATATTTCAATAATGATATTACAATTAAAACAAAACATTGTAACTAAATTATTTTATTTATTTTTACTAACGAGATTTTGATAAGACTGGATAAAAAAAATAGTAAATGTATTAATTTCTTTCACAATGCCTTTTTTTTTTTTTTTTTTAACAAATCGGTGTTGGAAAAGCGGTTTAATATTAATTAAATGGTTTTTAAATAATATCTATGCATAAGGGTTTTTTTATTAGCTTCATTAAATTATATTTATATTTTATTTGTGCTTGTGTGTTTCAGTGGACAACATAAGAATGCTGTTGATTGTTTGAAAAAAGCTATACCCCTTCCTAAACCAAGAAAAGAACTATTACACACATTTTCTTTAAGGAATTCAGCACAAGCCCAATTAGCAATATTTGAACGTTTTGGAATAATAACGTCCAAAGTTTATTCATTTTCAGAATAACAATGAAAATAATAAAGGAAACATTTATCTCTATAGTGAACAAGATTATACTAGTTTTATCTTTTTTTAACTTACTGGTTTTTAAATTGTTAAAAAGTATGTTAATTGTTTACATGGATAATAACAAATTGTTTGATAATTATTCTATTTACTATAAATATTTGGTTTTATTGGAGATCTTTTTTAATGAATGTAATATTTGATTAGTGACATGATTGCATTACAACTATTATAACCTCTTTGAATACTGTTAAAAAAATTATTTGTATTAGTTATTTATTTATTAATGTCAGACATTTTTTTTTTTTTTTTTTTGTAGACAACCATAATATCTACTATAATTTATTAAATGTATAGTGTAATAACTTAAATATAATTAAAATAAAATACAAATCTTTTAAACTAGAAGGTGTTATAATAATATTTGAAGTTTTAAAACAAACCAGAATATTTTAATATATATTGATAGTTTTTTTAGTTAACAAAACCAATTAGTTTCTTATTGCTCACAAAAATGTTGATTAAAATGTTCTAAAAATAAAAAAATGTAAGTCATTTTTTTTAAAACTTCTCTGCATGTGGTTGATACTAGAGGTAAGAGTTATTCAAATAGTTATTCATAGAATACACTGAATAATAGGAACAATTTGTATTCATTCAAATAATATTTATTATTATGAATAAATATATTATACTATTATAACACATTTAGTCATGTTTATTATTTAATTTACATAATTCTACCATCTACCAAAAGTTATTAGAATAATTTATTTGAATATATTATTCAATAGTTAATATAAATAATCAAATGTCATTTGATAGTATAGTTTATTCATTACTACCCATCACTAGTAGTTGATAAGGTTTATTTATTAACTTAACAAAAATGACTTAATTGAAAAACAATGTTTTGATGGGCATTTAAACAATTTAAGAATTTGAGAAATTTATACCTCTGAAAACTTAAACACCTCTTAGATTATCACTTCTATTCCTTTTTAGATGATCCCTCTCACTGAGTTTTTTCTTTTATTCAACTAATTTATTAAATGCAACTACTAATCAATAAGTATTTTGCATTGTACATTTGATGGACATATTAATATTTTTTTTATTTTTTTTTTTTTTTTCATTACTTATGCCCTATTAATTTCAAGATATAATATTTAAGCAAATGAATAAACCTAATCAAGCTTAAAAGATTTATATAAACCATAGTTATAATAACTTTAGATTTATAATATTACCTGGCAGATTTACATGGTTTTGGGAAAAAGTATATTATGCTAATTTATTCAAGCTGTACACATTTTTGCAAGTAGTTTTATTAAAACACAATGTTTTTATTATTGTGATGATTCAACACAATCTGGATACATATCATTATATTTAAATTAATGTTTGTGAAATATTTTCTCATCATTACTTGTTACTTGTGAACATTTGTTAATGATAATATAATAATTTAAACTTTTTAAATTTTACATAATCGGGCAAGATAAATAATTAACTCTGTTTAGTTAATTTAATAAAATTAATTTAATTGTTTTATTAATAAACTATGCTAAGTTATAAGTTAATTTGAAAATTGAATTGACTTATTAAATTTGATTTTTGTTGTAAAATTGTTATTGTCATAGTGAAAATGATAAAACTATGGTTTGTGAATTTATAAAATTAGAATAATTAATGTTAAACACATGGTTTATTCCTGGAATATTAAATTATACTTAATATTAAAAGCTGCACAGGAATCTGCACACCTATTGTTGAGTTATATATATATATATATTTTCTATATGAGATGTATTGACACACAATAATGTATGGATTATAAACTCAATATTGTGTTAAAATAAAAAAAAAAAAGGTAATTGAAATTTAAAACTAATCGTTAACTTTTTCACTTGTTACTGGTCAACTAGAAAATTTTGTTAATTTTATAAATCACATTATGACAAAATAATAAATTACTAATTTCCAATTTGAATTGTGGTAGTTCTAAAAAATAAAATAATATTCAATCACGTTTTCATATTGAATATTGAGATGTTTTTAATATTATTATTTTTTAAGTTATAGTGATAAAAACTTAAGTCCCCTTAACTATGACTATTTTGATTATAGACATAACCCGCCTATTATAAAATATAATACTTTGTGAGAATAGTAATATTTTAAGTTTGAACAAATAGTGTGTGATAAAAAATTGTTCTTAAGTTTTCTCAATAATTTTCCATGGAATTTTAAATTAGGTATAAATAAGGTATAAAAATGTGAATATTGAGTTGGTTTATTACAAGATTCAAAAATGCAAATTCAGTAATTGATTAAAAGAGAATAAAAAAAAAATGATGTCATAACACATTCCTAATATCTCCTCCATGACCTAATATACATATTATACATCCTAGATATTTATAATAATCTACCAAAGATATTGAAGAACAATCACAATTTTTATTATTTTTACAAAGATAATTATGAATTATTAACTTATTATTTTTTTCGACTTTTGTGGAAAAATCTATATACTGTGTTTTGGAAATATTTAGAAATAATTTATTTTTTATTAACCAATTCTTAACTTTAAAAAGATCATTATTAGCTATTTCATACACTTCTTCTGAACTATATCCGTCTACTATTAAAACAGTACCATCTGCAAATAGCACCAAATTTCCACTTATTTTAATATTTGTTAAACTATTGATATAAATAATAATCGACAAAGACATGTTCTTTGTAGAGCACGACAATTATTTAATTTTTTTTTTCAGATTTTGTTTTACCAATTTTTGTTCAGCATGTTCGGTTTTTTAAATATGTTTTAAACAAATCTTGTGCGATTCCTCTTATACCTATGTTTTCTAATTTTGATAATAAAATATCAAGATCTACAGTATCAAAAGCTTTTTTTATATCTAAGAAAATAACAAGTTTATATTTTTTATCAGATTTAATATGCGAGATTAATTTAGATATTGCCAAAAATTGTTTATTATTTATTATTAATTATTATAATTATTATTTAGTGGTCATTCCAATATTTTTTTTTCCGAATTTTTTTGCAGTGTTATAAAATGTTAAGTCTTTTGTGTGATTTTGAAATATTATACCTTGGTTATTTAGGGCGACCTTACCGCTCTCTAACGACAGTATGCCGAATTATCTACTGGCAACATTGCAAAATGGCACAATGACTTGCATTTCTAACAATAAATCAATAATAACATCAGCTGACAGCCATTTGAACTCATCTCTATTTCACTGTTCCACTAATTACCCTTCAATATTCACGTTATTCAGTTATTGTGAAAATGGGAGATGACAAAGGTAGTGTAATAATTTGATTTGAACATAATTTATGTACCTATACATTAATTTTTTAATTTTTTTAGAAAAAGAACGTGACAGGGACCGAGGAGATCGAGGTAAAAGACAACGTCAGTCACGGTCCAAGGATCGCGATCATAACCGTCATCGTTATAGTTCTAGAAGTCATGAAGGACACAAACATAGTCGGTCAAAGTCACCCAAAGATAAATCTAGGCGCAGAAAACCATCAATCTATTGGGATGTTGCTCCACCAGGATATGAACACATTGCACCACTTCAATATAAAGCCATGCAAGGTATATTGTGTGAACAATTAATTGAATATATATATATCCAAAAATTGAAAAAAGTTCAAAAGTAGTTTTTCTGTTCTGGTACATTTAAAGGAATTCAGGATTAATTATTATTATTAAATTACCCATACATATCGGACGGCTTTACACTACAATTAGACGCAATATTCTAGGGAAAAGTTAACCTTTGCCATAGCGTTTTCAATAAATGGTCTTGTAAGAAATCATCCATATCTTTTTCCTTTTTCCCATTTGCGCTTCTAACAATTACAGTTTAGTGGCTTCGTGTGGAGACAATTTATATTATTTAAAATATTTTATTGTGATGTTTTAAATATTTTAATTTATTTTAAAATAAATTCACGAAATACACATTTAATGTTTTAATAGACAAAATAAACATAATTTATAGTTTTTCGAATTGAATATATTCCTATATGTGAGTATATACCTTATCTGTTCTAATATCATATTATTGGTTGGTACTTCTTTTATAATTCTTTGACTATTTCTTTTTTACTTATAATTGGATAATTTTTTTTCATAATGATTAACATTTATAGGCAGTTTAATAAAATAATATTGCATTTTATGAATTTGTTCAAAATTATTTGAAGAGGTTAAGGAATTTAAATCAATTATTTTATTTCTTTATCTAACAAATATACTGCATAGTAATGAGATTGGCTAATCCACTGGTTATAACTTAATTTTAATTAATCATTTTTTTTATGTACATTTATATACATTTAAATTATTGAAATTAATGACTGAAATGTATAAAAAATTTACCAGGTCAATCTCAAATACACTTAATTCAAATCTGTTTTTATAATTCTTATGGCTTCACTACATTAATCAGAATAATAGACAAACAATTGGTTTAATTGAATTGCTATATTGTGTATGTGTTAGACCAAAAAAAAAAAAAGAAATAACTGGTTTATATCTCCTTAAAGATTAAACATTTAACCACAAATAAAACTTATTTATAATAGTTAAAATGAACTTAAATTTAAATATTACATATCTTTATAAAGTATAAATTATTTGATTTTTCTGCCATGTTCTGAATACTTCAAACTACCATAGTGATGAACTTTTTCTATTACCTTAAAAATAATAAGTTAATAGTTAATGGACATAAATAATATTTATAAAATATGATTATTTCCAACCCAACTAAATTTTAGTTAATAAAATAATCATTAATAAATTATGTGGATAATATACATATTTGAAATACCAAATTAAGATATAGCAAATCATCATATTTTAGCCTTGTTATTAGAAACTGATATGTATACAAGTTGGACATATCTGTCAATTATTGTGCTAAGGAAACTTAGGTAAACTAAAAATTAGGTAGGAAATTTGTCCACAGAAAAAAAAAAATAATAACAATAAAAAGAAACATCATTGTAAAATCAATACATAGAAGAACCAATATTAGTAATACAATTTTTTTTTCTACTTCCTCTTAATCACAGATGTGGGTAATTTACTCTTATTCTAGACTTTCTCATATTCTTATATTTTCTCATTTGCTTCACATGAATAATATGCAGCCCAATAAACCCAACAATTTTTTCTTACCATGTCTTTGATACATACTAACCATGATTTTACTTGATAAATATTTTAATTTTGTATTTAATATTCTTAGATATTGCACTATTTAAATTTATTTAAGTGTATTTATTGTTTAGCTGCTGGACAAATTCCTATAAATACATTACCAGCTACCCCTCAGATAGCTGTTCCTGTTATTGGATCTACAATTACCCGGCAAGCAAGACGATTGTATGTTGGAAATATACCATTTGGTGTAACTGAGGTATTATTATTTTATTATGAAAGCTATAGGTTATTTTATTATTGAATACATTTTTAGGATGAAATGATGGAGTTCTTTAATCAGCAGATGCATCTTTCCGGATTAGCACAAGCTGCTGGTAGTCCAGTGCTTGCTAGTCAAATTAATATAGATAAGAATTTTGCATTTTTGGAGGTTTTTTTTTTTTTTAATAGAAAATGTCACGGTTATTTAGAATCATTTTTAAATTTTTATAAATATTATCTTTTTTAAATCATAGTTCAGATCTATTGATGAAACTACTCAAGCAATGACTTTTGACAATATTAATTTCAAAGGACAATGTTTAAAAATAAGACGACCCCATGATTACCTGCCAATGCTTGGAATGTCTGATAAAAATCTTATGATAAACTATAGTTCTGGAATAACAGATATGAGTACGTGAATATATTTTTCTTCGACCTTAAATTTTAATACTTTTCTTTTATTTTTGTTTTTAGTGAAATACGATTCCAATTTTGTTCTTGGTATGTAATGTTGAAATCACAATATATTTTGTGTTATGCATTAATAATTTGTGTGTCATAGATTCACCGTTCAAAATATATATTGGAGGATTACCAACATACTTTAATGATGTTCAGGTAAGCTATTTTAGCAGAAAAATACCTAGCCTTTTGTTTTTAGCAATCTGGTCAATCATTAGCATTACATTAGGTCAATATCAATACATGGTCTGAGAAGAAGATCCAGTAAATACTATATTTACTGCTTTATTTGGGGGTTATAAGAACAAGAAGACTTTTTATCAGTTAGTATTAACTTTTTGGTATACATTCAATACATTTATTATCCTTTCTATCTGAAAATAAATGTAAGTAATAATTTTTAAAACCAAAAAGACAAAAATCAAATTAAAAATTTAATATATCATATATTTGGTGACAAATCAATGGTAATTGTATTATCTTATATTGAAGATTTAAATTTTTCTACTTCTGTACTTTATGACTTACTCAGTCATAATTTTAATAAATTGTTCACAAATAAAAAATGGCATATACAATGGTTGTTCCTAATTTAAAAAACTTTTATGTGAAAATTTGGATGTATATTCAAACAAATAACATAGGATGCAATATATTTTATCAGTATTAACTGATTAAGAAAGGTAGTTTCTTTAACATGATTTATTCCTAATTACACCTCTACTTAGGTACATCTGAAGAATTTAGTGGTTGTAAAATGTTCACTTCCTTGTTAATCTGAGGTTCTAAACTTTAATTTATCTTTTATACTTATTGACTGTATGGTATTTACTTTTTACTAAATTAATAATTTTATTGCTTAAACAAATCAAATATTTTTTTCTGAACATAATCTACTTATTTATATTTTGGTTATAATTATTACTAGGGAAAACTAATAAATAAGGCACAAGCTCAACAATTTAAAAAAAAAAATTGATAGGTATCATTATTATTTGTGGAAGTTGAGAAGATAGGATATATAGGGGACTTTTATTAATCTGTAAGCAACGATGAACCATTGCTAACAAAAATCGATTGTATATTATACACCTCAAATTCATATTATAGATATCTGAAACATTGAAAATAAAATTTAAATTTTAGATTCTGAGTGGACCGATGATATATTGATTTTACAATGGTGTTTTACTTTTTAGTCTGTGAACAACTTTTCTACTATAAATTTTACTCAGATTTTTTCAGAACACTTTTTCTGAAAATAAATCTGACTGGAGTGGGTTCGTTAGGGAAATCATTTATGAATTTTCATAGTAAATTTCAAATTTGTTTTTGTTATTCAGTAAAAATATTTGTAAAGATTTGAAATTTGAACAAAAATATGACATTTACGTTTTATAAACGTGGTCAAATTTTCAAAACATTTTGGCCATATTTGAGCTGTTTATAGACATTTTAATTTTGCTAGTCTTTTTTTTACAACATTTTTATTTGGTAGATACTCCGTGGATAAAACTGTTAGACCAAACAAAAATGCTTGAACATTTAACAGGAGATTAATTATAAGTTCTGCTTAATGGTCAATAAGAAAAGTTAAGTTTATTGTAGAATTTTAAAACGTAGAGAAGGCTCTATTAGTTTTACTAAGTTGTTTATTTTCTTTCTTTCTTTCTTTGTTCTTGACTATGGACACGTTTTTTCCTAGAAAACTTGCTCCAATATTAACGTGTAGCAACTTTTCTGAAAGTACAAGTTTTCTAGATCTAGAATGGTCATTTTTTAAATAAAAGCACATAAGTGGGAACAAAAATTAGGAAAACGTACAATTTCACGATTTCATTATTTTATAAAAACACGGACGATGTTTTCTACCAAAAAAAAAAAAAAAATGATTTAATTGAAAAATTACTAGACCCCTTTTTTGTTGTCTTTTGATTTATTTTCATACTGTATCATTGCCGAAACTTTTGAGCCATTTTAAGCTCTTAAGGAATTTTAATTTTTGTAAGTTTTTTTGCTGTAATTCAGTTATAAATTTACATAGGTACTTGAAACTTGTTAATAATACTTATATTGGATTTACCTAGACGTGGTAAAATTTCAAAAATCACTGGATGAATTTTTTTAATAAGAGTTTGGAAATTAAATTTAAATGAAAATCGTAAAAAGAATTACGGCACTTCAAATTATGTAATATCGAACTGCGCTCGGAATTGTCTTTCGTCAAGTAATGGTTTATCCTTGCTTACAGATATAATTGAAATAAACTTATGTATCCTACGTTTTCAACTTCTCAACTTACAACAATGGTCGCTCTCATCCCCAGTATTACTTCTTTTTTCTTTTTGATATGAATTTTAATATCAAATATTAACGAAAATCGTCTTTGTAAAAAATGATGTGGAACAACTCTAGTTACTGGTCCAAACAGAGTGTTTCAATATATATTTATTTTATTATAATATGACATGTATATTGTTGAAAAAGCAATATTATTAACCTCGCTTAGTATCGTTTTTCATTAGCAATGATTAATCTTTGTTTACAGATAAACATTAAATTCTTCTCTATATCCTAACTTCCCGACTTCTCATGTACAACAGTTGTTCACCCATCGTTTATCCATTTTTATTTTATATGACTGCAAAGACTGCTTCATTTTATCTTTACATAATCATATAGATACCATATGGTATTTTATTTATGTTTTTATACTTTTATTATTATAATTTGTATTCATTTATATTTTTAATCTGTAGGTATCATAGATACCTATTCTTAATTCTATAAAAAAAAGAGTGTTTTTTATTTGTTGTCATTTATGTAACTGCCAAGATTGCCCCATATAATATAATCATTATAATAATGATTAACATGTATAATATACTTAACTTTGTATTATTTTTTATTTTATATTTGTTCTAATTTTTAATTTAACAATTTTAAAAAATGTTATTTTATTAGGTATATTTTGTTTTTATGAATAAAAATTATTCCAGAGGCGTAGCTAGACATTTTTTTCTGGGTAGGCCAGATAAAATAATATAAATATGTCAATAGGAAAGACGACTAATACAAATTTTTGATTTTAAAATTGTGTTAATTTTCTGAGAAAAGTGAGTAAGCCTGGGCCTACTAGAACTACCGCTGGCTACGTCACTGGATTATTCATATGATATTATAGTGTGTTGTACGTTCAAGTAAATAAAATAGGGGTTTTTAGGTATATTTGGTACAAATATCTAATTACTTATTTATTTATTTTATATTTATTCATCGTTTACCTTGATATTACGTAAAAGGAAATTATTATAATTTTTAATGTTACTATTATTTACATTATTAAAATTTCACAATTAGTCCGCCGAAGGTGGACTATCCAATTTTTACATATTTGTTTTCATTCAATTCTGACACGGCCAAAACCAAAAATGAGTTTGGGTAAAATAATAATAACAAAAATTAACATGAGCAACACCGGGCGTGGGACAGCTAGTATAATATATGAATATAGGTATTTAAAAATTCATTACTTCTGTAGTATTAAAAATTACTCCCGTGCACAGGGGCAAAATACGGCAAACCAAATTATTATGAAATTAATAAATAATACTAAGATTATAATATACGTAGAGGTAGTTTCAATGAGTAAATTTTTAAACACACTCATATTACAATGTATAAATACAAAGTATACGTTTGTAGTTACCTACGTATTTTGAATAAAGGTACATTAATAGTTGTAATATTTGTTGTATAAATATTTACCTTGTTCTCGAAAATTTATTTCATTAATAAAAAAAATTAAATAACAGGTATTATACCTGGACATATACGAAATGTAATTTCCTATCATATGTTGATATTTTTTAACTGTTGTCAAGACAAAAATAGAATAACGTATCCACTAATGACACAATACAATTTAATAATATATATATATATGAATAATTATTTTCAATTATAACATTATTATTAAATTTGATGTAGTAACCAAACATTTCGAACTTGAGAAAACTACAGAAAAAGAAAATTCAAGAATTCTTAAATAAAGTTCAATCATTACTATTATTTTCAAATTGACGAAATCAATAACAATTTGAATAATGAAATCTAATATAAATTAAAGTTAGAGACATATTTAAAATGTATTCTTCCTTTAATGTTCCTAATATTTATCACATTTTTAATTTGAATTCAGTTGTCTTTAAAACATAAATCTATGCCTGTCCCCATAGCACCATTAATTAGGGGCTAATAAAAAACCTATGCAAAATCTGAGTTCAGCTACCCTAAAAACTTATAAATTTATGTAAAATAATTAAAAATGGTTAGAGTGAAAGAATTATTAATTTATGCGAGCTAGTTTTCATTTCAGCCCACTGTGTACACCGTCTAGCCGCCATCAACTCGCCACCGCACCGCCCACCACCTCACCGCCACAACCTAGTAATTTTAGTACTTAACACGTTGCACCCAATTCCTATTGTATTTTAATGAATAATAGAGCGTGTAGAATCGTGCGTTCAAAAAAAAAAAAAAACAAGTTGAATCATATTCCTCCCCTATTGCCGTAGCTAGGAGAGAAGTACTGTAGATACGTACAGGGAGCTCAATAAAAATGTATTGGCGACAAAGTGATTGAGAATTCGGGTGGTTGCCAATTCGCCTCTTTTTCCTTATTACTTGTATATGATGTTTAATACAAATTATCATTTGACGCCACAAACTCACCAAAATATGAAATATATTTGTATACATTATTGTATGTAAAATAGCGAAACAATTTATTAATAATATCAGAATTCGATTTCAGAAATTAGTATATATATATATATTTTTTTTTTTAGTATTTATTATTATTATGTATGCATAACACTTATATCTGCCTTTTCTAAACGTGGTACATTTTTAAAACGTTTGAGCTAGGTATCTATAGACAGTTTTTTTATGCTAGGGTTTTACGTAATTTTTATTCGGTAGGTACTTTGTAGATAAAACCGTTATTCTAAACAGAAATGTTTGAAAATTTAACAAGTGGTTCATAAAATGTCATGATTTTGATTTTAAAAAAAAAAATTAAGTTTAGTGTAGTATCTATTTTGTTTTTTTATAAGAATTTCAATATTTAATTTTGAAAAAATTGTAAATATTACAGCCTTTCAAAATATGCATTACCGAATTTCGCTCCGAATCGTTTTTCGTTAGCAACGATCAATGGTTCCGTACAGATATAAATTGAATTCCCCTTATACATTACATTCTTAACTTCTCACCTATAACATTAGCCCACCCGTCTTTGTATGTTCGTCTTTTTATTATAATAATGTTACAATCCAAATTTCTATAGTTATTATTTATAAATTATATACGTAGTTAATGGTACAAAATAAAGAGTTAATTTATCAACAATTTTATAATTTTCCCCGTCTCTTTGTGAATATAGTAACTATTTATATAGAGTTCTTATAATTTGCATTATAATCATTTGTTCATGACTTTATGATTATTAGATATGAGTACATATCATTAAATTTGAAATTTTAAAACTTGAGATCTGTATTAAACAAATCTTGTTTCCAGACAGGTCAGTTGTTTTTTCAAGTACTTACACTTCAGTAATAATAAACACATTAAAAAGAAATTAAAAAGAAAAAAAATCATTTTTTTTTAAAATAGACAGCCAATGATTTTTATTTCATTAGTAACAAAATAAATAATAATACATTTAAAATGTAACATTTTTTAGTTACTTTAGATTCTAATTATTATGAACAATATCATATATATAAATATTTAAGGGGTTTGTATAGGCAACTTTTTATATTCTCGTGCGCTACAATATCTTAGAAAATTGTCGGGGGAATGTTGGCACAGGTTTTAACCCCCCTCCCTACACCATCCCTAAAAAAGGACACTGGTTATAAATATTTCTACTAAAATTATTTTACATGCAGCAGATTACAGTTTTACACATTGTGTACTGCAGTAGTTTACGGGGACGGGTATTATGAATTTCTCCACCTAGAGACATACAACTTCTATAATATTGGTGAATTTAGTACGGTTTAGGTGGACATTGCTGTGTAAATTATGTAAATTAATCCCCTCCCGGGTTAAGTACTAAAATTCCTAGGTTGTGGCGGCGAGATGTCCAGATCCGATTATATTTAATGCCTGAATGCCATTAAATGGCAAGTCACCATAACTCAATTTTGGGTAGTCTGAAAATTCCAAAATTTGAAATTTCTTTTGATTTGAGAATGTTCCATGTAAAAAACAATGTTTTTTTTTCTATCATATCGTTTGAAACTAAAAGGGTTAAACAAAACGAAATGTCGGTTTAATATTTTTTTTTTTATTTCGACTTTACAAGCCATTTAAGCTTAATTTAGCTATAGCTGTATCTATATTTAGCTTATATTATTTTAGCTAATATTATATTTTGAATTTTAATTTTAGAGTTAAATAATGATTTTTTTTTTCAAATAATTTGATATTTGTTTTTTTAATTTTCATTCTTTAGGGTTAGAAATAAATGTAATTTTATTTATTAGTACCTATTTTAAACATGTCAATTCCAAGAAAAAACAATATTTTCCAATTGTATTTGACTTGATTAATTCACACTGCACTAATTTTTTTCGTGAAAATTAGGTATCTACACAATTATGAAGTTATTAATGAATAACTCATGAAAACCTTTAATGTCAAATCTGTATATATATTTCTAAATCAAATTAATTAGTCATATTTTAAAATTAAGAATTTAAAAAAATTATTTTGGACTTCATAAGGTATTCATAAGAAAAGAAAAAAAAGGAACGCCCAAAGGAACGAGAAAAGGGAAGGAGTTTCTTTTTTAAATGAGGAACAAGAAACAGGAACAAGTTACTTTTTGTAATAGAAACGAGGAACTGGAATGATTTCCTTCATAATAGGAATGCTGTCAACACTGAACATAGTACAGCATACAACATGGTATAACATAATATAAAAAAAAAACGCGCGATAAACATATGATGGCCACTGAATAATCCCTTCTCCGTAATACAAGCGGTAGCCCGTACCTCATGGTATTTCCAGGTGGTGGGTGTATTGTGTTACCAAAAAACATAAAAGAAAGACGGTAGCCCGTTCTCCCCACCAAACCAACCCAGTCATACAAACCTATTAATTAAATTAAAAGATGTATCAGTACTTTAGTCTTAGATTTCGTTTGTTTTTTGTGTTAAAAGCTATATTAGATATAGCTGTTAATAACGGAAAATAAAATGCGAAACGGCCGAGGGAATAAAAAATACTTGTCGAAGAATAAGAAAAAAAAAAAAAATCAAATTAAACTTTTTATTATTTAGAATTTACTTATATACATATTATACATACATATGATTTGCTAGTTGACATAATTTTTGTTCGATTTAATATTTTTGATTTCGTTTTTTTTTTTATATATGAATATTTTTTTTTTTTTAGGGTGAGGTGGCTTAAAATAAAAAATTTTACTATAATTTTTTTTAAAAAAAAATTAAAAATTGCTATTTTATAAAATAGAATTTTAGACGATTTTTGTTGGTTGAAACTTTTGTTAAAGTATGGTCTTTTATATTCTACGACTGTTTGAAATTTTGAATAATCTTCTTTTCAATCATCAAAACAATATTGGTTATCAACATAAATGACAATATGACAATATAATTGCATAATATGAACTCATGGAAAAGAAAATTCTTATCATGCCCTGACTAATAACTGATTAAAAATTGTAATAGATTAACCACAATAGATAATATTTATGTTTGCAAAAACTTCAAAAAAAAAAAAAACATAGAAATAAAAGACTATACTTGCACAAAAGTTTCAACCACCAAACGTTTTCTAAAAATGTATATTTTCAATTTTTTTAAAGAATGATAGTAACATTTAAAATTGTTTAAGTCCCCGTCCCCTTGAAAAAAAAAATGTTCATAAACTGTAGCGCAGAGGCATACTAATTATTTTAAAAAAATATAACAAAAATATTGATTGAAACAGAAGTTATTTCAAGTGGCATATCATCATGGGATATTCTGTGTATACTTGTATATAATTTTATAGAATACAAATATGAGGGTCCTTTTATGAATTTGTCTTATTCATATGCAAATGTATGTGATGCAGGGTTTGAAACCAAAAAAAAATATTTCGATTTTGATAAACGGTTATGAATTGTTTTGATTTTGATTCTAATTATCGGTTTTTAACGTTTACTACTGTTTTAATTTTGGAAATCGGTTTTATTTTTTTTTTCAATTTTAGAAATCGGTTTTGAAATTTAATGGTTTCAAGTTTGATTTCGATATATATATATCGGTCTTTAACGGTTTTAACCGGTAGGTATTTAAAATATAGTTTTAAATTTGTGTATTATTCATAATATGTCTACGGTTTATGACGTTCATGTTTTCGGCTATTTTTAGCAAAATAATCATGTTTTTTTATCTCAAAAATTGATTATGGTTGACGGCTATGCAATAGGTTATCGATGGTAAATACTAGTCTAACATATTTTATTTTCGTACGAAATATTATAAATAATAAAGTAATAAAGTAAAAACAAAATTATTAAAATGGTTAATATTCATAAATAAATAAAGTGAATAAATATATGTATAAAAAATGTATACATAAAAATAAAATAAATAAATGTATCAATGCCTCACCTGGAGTATTATGATAAATGTGTTGTACGACCGGTTTCGAATTAAAAATTCATCATCAGGTATACCATGGTCAAAATGTAAAACGCGACTGAGTATAAAAAATTAAATGAAGCAATACATAGAAATACAATAACATAACACTCCAGGCGACACATTGATTCATTTATTTATTTTATTTTTATGTATACATTTTTTATTCATATATTTATTCACCGTATTTATTTACTGTAAATATTACTTTAAAGTTTATAAGTTGACAACGAAAATTTAAATTTTGATAATTATTACTTGATTTTATTTCTTTCCATTTTTATTGGAATTTTTGAAATTACCGGTTTTGTTTTGATTTTTTTTTTTTTTTTATTTCGATTTAAATTGTTTTAAATCGGTTTTTAGTTTTTATGTTTTCAATTTTGATTTTGATATTGGTATCAAATTTTAACGGTTTTTACTGGTATTTAAAATCGATTTCGAAACTGGTTTCAAACCCTGATTTAATGAATAAAATACATGTTTAATTAATTATACTTCATAATAGGTAATAGAACTATTAACATCATATGGACAGTTAAAAGCCTTCAATTTGGTTAAAGACACCATTTCTGGTTTAAATAAAGGTTATGCATTCTGTGAGTATGCGGATGTTACACTGACTGATCGGGTACATTTCTAAATGATAATCGACTATACTTGTGAATATAATAATTTTAATTTTATTATTATAGGCTATTGCTGGTTTGAATAATATGCTTTTGGGAGATAAAAGGTTAATTGTACAAAAAGCAAGTATTGGTTGTAAAAATCCAACTCTCAATGCACCTATATCAGCTGTTACTCTTCAAGTTCCTGGACTTACATTTGTTGGAGCTTTAGGACCTCCTCCAACCCATGTAAATAATATCTATTATTCATTGTTAATTTATTGCGCTATGGTTGAAACTGCCTAGTGTTATTATTTTCATTTTTTGTAACATAAAAATTGATAACTAACATTGTATTATTAAGAGGATTCGATACCAACCTTTTTCTCGACTAATGTATACCGATCTTTTGTCACCATCGTGGTATACTGGTATGTGGTGTGTCGTGCGTGATCACTCACACTAATTACTACACACGCAAAAACACGCCACGCACGCATGACTTTATATTAGGCCTATATTCAACTCTTTAAAACGGGTCGGTATCGAATCCCCTTGATTTGAAACTACAGTAATGTATACAATAATTTTGTATTTGAAAGTTAGACCGAAAAGATCCTTTGGTAAATTTACTTTGTGTAAAGAATGTAAGTAAAAATGTGTTTAATATTAAATTATAATTGTTTGCAGGTTTTATGTTTATTGAATATGGTAACTCTTGACGAACTTAAAGATGATGAAGAATATAAAGATATTTCAGATGATATTCATGATGAGTGTAGTAAATACGGCTTTGTTCAATCAATAGAAATTCCGCGGCCCATTGAAGGAATGGACGTGCCCGGTTGTGGAAAAGTATTCATTTTAGATTTGGTTATTGCCTAAAAATATAGTTAATTTACAAATTTTATTTTTATTCAGGTATATGTAGAGTTTACTTCTGTTACCGATTGTCAAAAGGCACAACAATCTTTGGCCGGCCGAAAATTTAATAAACGAATAGTGGTTACCTCATTCATGGAACTGGAAAAATATCGTAAAAAGGAATTCTAATAGTTTATTTTATCGTGCTATTTGTGAACATTAAGAACTGGCAACTGATAAACGTCCGTGATTATTTAGTGTCCCCTTTTATAATAAAATCCACTAGGAGTATCAGTTTAAATAAAAATTATAGAATTATAGGCCTGTAGTAATCTATAGAGCAGCTATAGAAGTCAGATATCAAATATCAGTGATGTAGCCTATAATAATTAGTATTGCTATTAGATATCCAGTATTGTGCAATATACAAATATTGTACTAATATCTTTCCTATTCTCATTTCCTTTCTTTTTTTCCAAATACTAGATTGGTTAAATAACTTTGATAGACTTCCACTCACCCCTATCCACCACAGCTATTTTCAATCCCCTTGTAAGTGGTTCATTCTATGTCGTCTTTGATCTGTTTCATTAACAGAGTTATTGGTCTGCTGCTTTCTGCTTTTCCTTCAATCTTTCTTTCCATAGCTGTTTATCTATTTTCCGTTCTTCCTCTTGTTGTATTATATACTGTTTTGAACACGTTCATTCTTGAGTTTACGTCTTCTTTTCAAACTTTTTCTGTCCAAGAAATTTTCTATGTTTTTCTCCAACACTGTGCTTCAAAAGCTCAAAAGCTCAAAAGCAAAAACGAAATAGACTGTAGTTCTTTAATAGAAAAAATAAATTTTAAAATTAATATTAATAATACTAGAAACAATCATTTATTTTTCTTAAAATTATAAAAACCAATTATTTATTAAATTCCTTTTACAAACTTACTCATGTCAATTGGTTATTCCACACATTTAGATATATTTTCTTGCAACATAAATGATAATTAAAACATGTACAAATTAACTTATTCGTATTATAATATAATACCAGTTGCATATATTGTGAACTTATATTTATTTGTAGTAAATGTTGTATCTTATTTTATTTTACACATAATTTACGTATTAATTTTGAATTATCTAATGATTTTGAAACACTTTATTTATACTAGTACATAATTTTGCATACTTAATAATTACATTGCACATACATTTTTACTCTATTTAAATTTATCGAAATGCTTTATATGACCTTCATATTTGGTCACATATTGCAAATTGAGTTTCGTTCCGTATATTAATAATAAATAAAATAAATAAATATTCTGACTTTCCCGTTTCACTATTGGCATTTTTGTACATAATTCGTAGGATCTATATAATTCATCAACTTCAATGCAAGCAATTGCTTAAAGAAGGTATGTTGACAATTTTTGATGCATCGAATTGTGTGAACTATTTGTTTACAAAAAATATGTCTAATCTAATTTTAATACATCTATCTATCTAGTTTTTTTATTTATCCATAGTTTAAGATTTATATGTTAAATATCCTTATCCTAAATTAAATGGAGCTTTAGAATATGTAGTCCTATATCTTTACATATCAAACACATTATTCATAAGCATGCAGAATTCTGCTATTCATTCTACATCAGTGAAATCTGAATCTAAAGTTTCACAAAAAGTTAATTTAAAATGTACACTAATACTAATAAGCTACTAACATTACAAATTCCCACAAATTTTAAAAAGGCACAGTTATTTGGAATCCTATTCAACTATGTCTAATTGATAAACTTAAAAAAAATCAGATGTTAGCCATAATAGATATAAAAGTACCTATTCTAAAATAAATCTACCCTTTGTAGTACTGCATTTATCTTGTAATAATTACTATTTAAGTAGTTTGGTTTGTGGCCTCTTACGGTGAAATAAAATTTGTAAATTAAAATCCATTACATTTAATAGTAATATTTAATGTGTAAACTATACAATTATATTGTTTTTTTGTACTTGATGTTCATATATACTTGAATCTATACTCATACACTTTTGAGTGTCATTATATTAATTAAATAATTAATTAATTATTATTATTTATTTTATTTATTTATTTATTTATTATTATTTTAATTATTATTATTTATTTTATTTATTTATTTATTATTATTTTAATTATTATTGTTTATTTTATTTATTTATTTATTATTATTTTAATTATTATTATTAATAATTATTATTAATTAATATTACTAACTCTATTATTAATATATATATAATATAATTTCTCTCTATAATTTAGGTTCTTTCTATCTATTATTATTTTTACTGTTATTGTAAATTATTAATTCGACAAGAATTTGTTTCATTGTTACTGAATTTTTGTCTATTTTTACAGCCACAAATTTATTTGTAGAATAGTTATTATTGTAACTTATCTTTCTTATTTGTAAAACTTATGAAATCAGTATTGATAATCTTTCATTATTCATCTGTGTATTAATTTAAATCTTATTTATTTAAGGATCAAATAGAAATGATGTTTGCATAAAAGTTATCACAATTCCTGTAATCAACATTTATTTAATATCCCATTAAACAAATAAAAATTAAGAAACTTATTTATTTTTTGCATTAGCAGTGTCATAATATCCTTATCCTTTTTTAAGTAACACTTAATGACTTTATATATTTTATCCGTGAATAATATAAAAAATATTTATTAATCAAAAACTTGAAGGTACAGTTCTGATTGAAGAATTATGAAAAATAAACTACTTATATTGTCTATAAGGTAATTCACAGTTTCAAATTAATTCAATTTCAGATAAGGAGGGATGTAAAATATCTTCTTTGTTCATAAATTCTATAAAATATTTCATTACAAAAGTTATATTACATTCCTGTGATGTAACAACCAGTGCTGCAACTAAAGATGAAAGGACCCATGTGCGAGTCAAATTTTGGGGCCACTTATTTCAAACTTTTGTTTTAAAAAATTGCATAGCAATTAAAAGAGCGCAGTTAAAAGACGGCTTACAATCCCCTGGTAACAAAAGACCCCCGAAAATAATAAATACACATGGTTTCCCATTTCAGGAGACTAATCATTTTTATTTTGATTCACCAAATTGTATCTATACAAAATACATAGGTACCAAGTATAATTTTAAAAACAAAACAATTTTTTATTACTTTATTTGAAAATAATTGACTTACTGAAACCGTAATAACAAGACCAATGTTAAATAGAATTGAAATTTATTAAATATTTAACTAATAATAATTTCAAATTAAGCAATCTTTATTTGTTATATTACAAATAATAATGGCAGTATTTAAGATATATATTTTATAGTACACTAATACTTCAATAATGACCACTTTAATCTTTATACTAGACAAATTATACTTGAGTTATTTTATAAAATTTACTTTGGTTAATTTTTAAAACAATAGTTAAGTACTTTATGAATTTTTAATTACATGCTATATACAAATGTCCAAAATTGTTGTGTATACAAAAATATATCAACTTGTTTATACAGAGACCTCTATTTGAAATGTAAATCATATTTGTTTTCATCTCATTTGGTATTTGGTACATATGGTATTTTCTACCGAAAATCTTGCTTCAATGTATCAAGTGTAACTTATTTTCTGAAAGAAAATTTTATCTCCGTGGTAATTTGAGGAAATCATTTTTTGATTTACCCGGGAATTTTCGTTAGCAAATGCGAAAAACCGGGAAAAAACACGGGAAATCCAAGAAAAACTTAGGAAAACGGAAAAATCGATGCAATATTAAGCAAATATTATTACAAAAAATATATAAAGTCTATATAATTATTTTACCATAATATGTCAGATATATTTTTGACAAAGCATCACTATCAACTGAACTTCGCTCAGAATCGCTTTTTCGTTAACAATGGTTTATCGTTGCTTGTAACAAAACAGATGCGTAAAAATACGTACCAGGATAATGGGGACGGGTGCAGCCACTGTTATAGATAATTTAATGTATACAAGTAAGCAACAATCAACCATTGCTTAAGAAAAAACTATTCTGAGCGGAGTTCAGTTGATAGTGATATTTTGCAAATAATATTTATGTCATTGTATGGTAAAATAATTAAATAGGCTTTATATTTTTTCTCTAATAATATTTATTTAATATTTTACCGATTTACCCAGTTTTCCTACGTTTTTCCAGGTTTTTCCATGTTCTATCCAGGTTTTTAACATTTGCTGGAAAAACTCTCGAGTCAAAAATGACTTCTATTAATTATCTCCAAGTGAAATTTCTTTTTAGAAACATTGCTACAATTTAAAATTGGAGCAAAATTGCTGGTAGAAAAGTTGTGCATAGGAAAAATAAATAGTAATATTTTAGTAATATATTTCGTACATTTTTCTGTATTTTCAAATTGAAAACGAGAACGAGAAAACGCTTGAGAAAATCGAAAAATGGCCTTTAATTATTAAAGTATTATTTAGTTTATTATTAATATTAAAGTACCTCTCCACACTTATTTCTTTTCGGAAAAGATGCTACATTTAGAAATCCGAGCAAGCCTTCTAGTAGAAAAGTTGTTTACGATAAAAAAAAAAAAAAAACATCTTTGTAAAACCATAAGCTTCTTCATTCCACTCAGAATTAAAAATATATTGGTATATCGGGTATACCTACTTACATCGTAATAGTGTAACAGCAGCTGATTGATGTATACAATTTAAAAAATGAAGAAATAAGCAAAACTAAAAACACCTTTATGCAATAGAGCTCCCACCATAGTACCGAAGTTTCTTTTAGCCGAATGGTGCCGTTTTAATATTTCGTTGCTTAGATTCGGAGCAGACAAGATTAAATTTTTAATCTTGTTAGCGAGTAGGTAATTCGTTTTTTGATTTTCTTTGTAGTTTTTTTAATAATTGATCAATACAGAAAAATACGTAAAATGTACGGAGAAATTGACGAAAATAATGTTTTCAATTTTATATTTTTGTTGTAATTAAAGTTAAAAACATTCTGAAATGCTTGACATTTGAACAGAAATTTTATATTTGCATCTTCTGGCCAGGATAAAATTTAAAAATATTTGAGCCATTTTTTAGCTATTTATAGTCATTTAAATTTTGTGAATTTTTACGTAATTTTGACATGGTAGGTACTTGTCCATCATTTGAGGGATTCAGACTATAATTTGGCTGCCCTATGTTTTGTTAATGTGTTATATAATTGCGCTGCCGTCAATAAAATGAAGAATGCCAATGGCCGCCTCTACCGGTATCCGGTCGTTTGAGATGTGATGATACCCCGGTATCGGCTTACGACTAAAGATAGTACTATTACGGTAACAATGTGTTTATAATGGCAACAAATTGACAGTAAATAGTTAAAATCTGATATTGAAATTTAGTTTCTTAATTTTTTTAACAATAATATTTTTCTATAGCATTTGAATATTAAAATTTAAAGAAGGAATAAAAGCAAACGAAGCGATCAAAAATTGTTTTTCATTTCAACAAAATAAACAAGATAAATAAATGGTCTGATAGAAGACAAATAATCGATCCGATTTAACTGTTTGCATCCCTATTGAAAATCTGAATTGGTGCTCCTGTACTCTGTGGATAAAATTGTTAGGCTAAACAGAAATACTTGAAAATTTAACACGGAGGTTCATTATAAGTTGTACTTAATGGTTAAAAAAAAAAAAAAATGACTGGAATTTAGTATTTATTTTTTATTCTTATAAGAGTTTTAAAATCGCCTTTTTAATAAAACCGTAAATGTTACGGTCTTACAAAACATGTATAACCGAACTTTGATCCAAATCGTCTTTCGATAAGCTATGCTTATCGTTGGTTACAGGCGTAATTTAAACGACTTTATGTATCCGAACTTTCCCAACTATACGCACACTTACAACCGTGAACGCACCCGTTTCTAGTATCAGTTTTTTTTTTTTTTAAATCGTACATGTTCGAGAAACGCCAATGAGGTTCAAACTTCATAATACAACGTAGGTATTTTATTCCTAAAGACACTTAAAGAAAACCCGTTCGTGTTTTCCGCAAGCGCGAATTTACGATCGATTGTCCTTGTGTCGGGCTAGGCTCTTAATCGCACGCATCGAATGGAAACGCATAACATTATTGGTTCACGCACGCGCTAACGTGCGGTGCACACCGTGCGGACATTCTCGGCGTCTATATGGGTACACGATATTAGATTCACAAATCCAAATCGAGTAATGATTACCGGAAATGAATACAGACGTACGAATCCGATGTACCCATATACATGTGGTTATTTCGAATTAGTACAATTCCTGCAATTGTACAATGTGTATAATGTGTTTTATTCTATAGAATATCTGTGCACACGCTCGTTCGGACAAAATCAAGTGCGCGGGAGTATTTAGTACAAGTAGGTAGGCACAATTATACGAGTTATACGGTTATATTTTATTTTTTTACTATTTTAATCAATCGTGTGCGCCGTATGAAACAGACTAGACATAGGCGTGTGTGCACAATATGTATAAAACTCGTTTTCATTTATTTAATATATTTTTATTTTTAATCATACCTAATTACTCGGGCACGTAAAACACAGAATATTAATAAGTCACGCGATAGAAGTGAATACAAAAGTAGGTAGGTAGTAATTAGTATTAATATAATAATTTTTTTTTTTCACGTTCAAAACGATTATCGTACACGGATGCGTTTTGTAGTTAAATGTACCCGTACCCACACATATTATGCGAATCGATCGAGAGGTATTCTATATTATAATATATACGTTCATACTCGTATTTTAGTTTTTCGTAATGTTTTATTTTTATAGTGTACCCGTGTGTAAAAACGAATGTATAATACCTTTAAAAAGGGCAAATTAATTGAAGTGGACTATAATAAAAACACTAATTATTACAGGTCCTCCGGTGTAAAAGGGTAGGTATTTTCAACACAATTTTTAAGTATCTCATTGGGTAAAAATATCTTCGAATATGTTGCCCCATTGATAAGAATAATGGGATGAAAATACAATAGGGAAATTGTATTCCTGGTAAATATCAGGGGGAAATAAATATGTTTTGGTAAAGAAAATTTTAAAAATAACTTTTTATTTTATTATGTACGAATGACGATAACAGTGAATCTATAATCGTAGGCACTATCTAGTTTTTTAGCTATCGAAAACGCCATTTGTATCTCATTATCACGAGATACGATATTAAAAACTAAAATATGTTTTCTACCGTTTGGATTTAAAATTGATGACTGTGATTCGTAAAAGTAAAATTAAACAAGAGTTTTCTTTGTTAGATATTTTATAGTTTTTATCAAATTCATATTGAGAAGACTGTTGATATTAAAATAACTTTCGTACTTTACAAGTAGGTAATTTAAAGTATAAAAATAAAAACTTAATAACTACATTGTAGTATTTGTGATAAAGTATTTTGTAAACTAGAAAAATAAAAAGAGCTAATACTGGGGACAGTACTGGGGATCTGTATATGCCACTGTTGTAGGTGGGAAGTCAGGAAGATAGGATGCATAAATTATTAAAGTTTTTTAATTTATACCCATATGTAACAATACTATAGCTAACAAAAAAAGATTCGGAGCGAAATTCGGTTGTATATGTTTTGTAAGGCCGTAATATTTACGATTTTTGTCAAAATTTGCCTTTAACTTCCTATTACAAAAAAAAAAAAAAAAAAATACTACATATCACTAAATTTTCCAGAAAAAGTACTACCTCCGTTTATCGGAGCAAGGTTTTTGTTAGAAAAGTTGTTAACAGAAACAAAAAATTAAAAAAAATACACACTATAATAAACCAATAGATCCCTCGCTACATTCCGAATCTAAAACATGTTATGAATGTGAGATGTTTATTTGTAAGTGGTGCCTGTTAGCGTTCGTAATTTACCATTTGTGTGTAGTAAACAAAAGTAATAAGTGCAAGTAAATAATATGTAGGTATGTGGTTTTCTTACAATCGCTATTAATAACAGAGCTGAAACCACGTTTGTCTACTGGTAGATTACCGTGGTCGAAACATATTAAGTTGTATTATTAATTTTAGTCATTAGAAATAGTAATTAGTGCCATGACTATAACACTACATACGGGTATGACATCTTAATTATTTGTGAAAGGTTCAGTGGTGTTTTTCGGCCGAGGCCATCAAGGAATAACCACGTGAGAGGAAGGGAGGGACACAGAATTTTTTATCATGTAATTAATAAAAAAAAAAAAAACATCAAGAAATTATAATTTATAACTTCAATAATATGTATGCTGAAAATAATAGTTTAATGAAATTTAAAATCCCACCAGTTTTCTAGGCGATCGTAGTTGGGTGGTAAATTATAAAAATTAACTATCACACCATATATTGGCTATTGCTTATGCACAACGATGATACATTTTTTTTTTTATAATACGTACGATTTTATTTAAAAGAAATTATTTTGTGATAGTCATTTTTGTAGTGTTAGAAAATTGTATGTGATAACTTACAACCATTAGGGGAGGACTTTAAAACCCCTCTGTCATTTTTATTTTTAAATTGTCTTTTAGTGCTTTTTTCGGTGTTTTCAAGCGTTTTGTTGTGGATTATAAAAGAATATAAATCCGGTCTTTAATTACGGCCTTAAAAATGAAAAACGTCAAAAATGCAAAATAAAAATTTCACAAATGAATTTGTTATTATATAATTCAAATTAATTACTTAGAAAGCTATGTTTCACAATCAGCTAAAAAAAAAAAATGTACTTTCCTACAAATTCACAGCCCTAATTGATATCTCTAAATTGTCCTATAAAATATATATAAAAAAAAAAAACGTTTTATTTGATAATCATAATACATATCGTATTATGATCCGGTTCAAAATAAAATGGTTTACCTAATAATAATGTGTTTTTATTAAATATTAGTCAAAACCCCTAAATTTAAATATTAACAGTTATTATTTTGAAACGTAGTTCATATTTATGTTTAATGAATCTGGAATATTATAAATTAAAATGCATAAAACAAAATAAAATTGTATTCGTTCTATCATCATTGTAATGACATGTACGATGCACATTGTGCGTACCATACGGTGTTGTGGATGTACGTGGTGTATATTGTTGCGCGTTAAAGCGTGGCCTATACGGCCCGTAAACTCGTTGTGTGATTGTTTTGACCTTTGGCATGGCTTGAACAGCCCAGTAAGTCAGTATGTGCGCCTGTTGTCGCGTTCGTTAAGTATAACGCACAAGAGTAAAGGAGTATGTTAAAACGTAGGCGACCAACATTCAAATGCTTATATAATATACGACTTTCATTTGTGTATGGTGAAAAGTATATGGCTAAATTGGACTAAATTGGACATTTGATAAATATTGATATTATCCGAAGAATTTAAATTTTATTGGCGGTTTTAATCGATACTTATAAAAATGAAACCACGCGTCTTATTGAAACGTACCTGCGCTAATAGCTTCTAATACCAATAGATCTATTTCGATTGGAATAATAACATAGAACAGAATACAAAGTTCAAATTATTCAGTTTAAAAGCGATATAAATCAATAGTTTTGAATCAAAAAAAAAAAAATAATCGATTTTACAATACATTTTAAAGGACCTGTGTTTTTGTATTACCTTACATGCCGAAAGATTTATTACGATTTTGTCTAACAGCAATATCCTAGCTAGAAAGACATTTATTATACAAAAATGATTATTTTGTTTTACGGAACGATTTTATAAGTAATTTAGTGTTTACTGAAACACAAATACAAAGGTAGCAAAACAAAGATTTTTAACACAAACAACTCTGTTCGGAATCATAAAAATAAAATTAGAAACTTAGAAATACGGAAACGCGTTTACGTAAGTTTACGCCGAAGGCCAATACGCGTCAAACACACAAAGAATCGTATACATGTATGCATGCATAAAATAAGGTAGTTTTTGTTTTTGTAAAAATTAAAAATATATTTAGCGTGCGTGGATTCGGATTGATTTTTACTACATATTTACAAGACCCTAGTTCAAACTTGACATATTTAAATTTGTTTGTTTTATTAAATGGATTATCTATTATTAAATAAAAAAAAAAACTGTCTAGAATAATGGGGACAAGTGCAGCCGCTGTTATAGGTAATTCAACGTAAACCTGTAAGCAACCATCGAACGTAAAGGCGGAGTTCGGTTGATAGTGTTGTTTTGTTGACAATATATATATATATATGTCATATTACGGTGAAATAATTGCATATGCATTATAGATTTTCTTTAACAATATTCGTTATTTATTGTACCTATTTTCCCGTATTTCTTAAATTTTTCCCAATCAAAAAATGACCTTCCCAGTCAGATTTCCTTTCGGAAAAAGTGATATTATTGTAAATCGGAAAAAAATTGCTGGTAGAAAAGTTGTTCATAGGGAAAAAAAAGGCCATAATATTTTATACTACACATTCGTACATTTTCCGTTTATTTTTCGGTTTTTCCTATTTGTTGGGAAAACCCCTAGGAAAATCAAAAAATAACGTCCCTAAAGTATTACTTCAAGATAAATTTTCTCTCAGAAAAATGTCTACATAATTATAATATACACCGGAATAAGTTTTCTTGTAGAAAAAGTGATCACATTAAAAAAAAAAAAAAAATTAAAAATAAATACATCTGTGAAACCAATACATTCCTCGCTCCGCTCCGAATCTAAAAATACCCAAACAAATATCTTCTACATATCGTTAAAAATCTTAAATTATCAAATACACGAAAACAAAATAGTAATTATACACAAAATTATATGAATATAAGAATATAATATTGGGAAAAGAGTGGACAGCTTAATGCAACACTGCATTCCTCGCTGCACTCAGAACCGACATGAACATGTAGTATTGGCAGGTTTTCTTAATTTTTAATCATAAATAAATAATACAAATCAGAGGTTCTTAAACTTTTTTTTCGCGTACCACTTATATGTATTATAGATCTATCGCGTACAACATAATACTGAATATAGATTTATCCATAATGTCTATACATTGCATTATTATAAGACAGTAAACTACTACAATATAATGAATAATACGGTAAAAATAAAATAGTATTAAATCCAGTAAAAACCCTTGTACAAATATGTATTAATTCATTTTCTGTACTACTATACCGCGCGAGGTCTTTTGAGAATCACCATGGTGACTACACCACGTATTACTAGCAGGGACCGGAACCTTTACGATTTAAAGGGTTTTGGTTCTTAAAAAAATAATAATATTAAGGGTCCCGTTCTTGTGGTTTTTAAAATGTTACGGTCTTTTTCGGTTCCAGTTTCTGGTCACTAGTGGTACACGTACCACAGTTTGAGGACCGCTGATATAGATATTTGTACATTTTATCGATATTGCCGGACAAATTTAAAATGTTTGCCTTAAATTATTGAATTAAAGGCATTATTTATGCATATGCCACATTTTATCGGCTAAAATTACAAAAAAAAAAAAAAACTTAACTAAATTATAATATTATTAACAATGTTAAATTACATGAAAATATATAAACATAAATATCATAAAATGATAATAAACATTTAAAAACGGAATTAACGATAAATAAATAGTAAAAAAGTGATGTATATGGGCGATAATAAACGTTTGATTTCGATACTCGACACTCATAACCAGTGCCGAAGCTATGATTTGCGAGGCACTGTGCAAATTATAATATTTTTAAATTTTTATAGGTACCCGATAGAGGCGCGAGGATCCAGAACTAAATCCAAAAGTGCGAGGCCCAGTGCGATTGCACTTTCTGCACGCCTCCCGCGCCGCCGGCACTGCTCGAGACACTCATTTTATTTCGCTAAGATGGTACTTGAAACTGTGTTTATTCTTTTGACGTGGTATATCCCAAAACTATTCTATGCCGATTTTGAGTATTTCCTAAAAGCGGTTAATGGCATTCGGAACCGAATTCTATTTTGCAGTACCTTAAATATTTATCAAGATGGTATAGAGCAGTTTTGTTGATGTGTTCATAAGTAAAACATGAACAATTATAGTGAAGAACCACGTGTAATATTATTATCTAGCAGTTATGCTCGGCCAAAACAGTTTTTTCCACATAAAACGAAATAAAAACTATAAAATTCGAAAATATTTAAAATGTCTAATGTTTTGAAAAATTTACCACGTCTGAAATAAACGGCTAATTTGAGAATTCTGTTAAAATTTTAGACCGCTAAAATTATTTTCAACCGAATTACAAAAAAAAAAAAAAAAAAAAAAAAAAAAATCGAAAAAAACGCAAAAACCTTTGTTGCGTACAATTTCACATTGTTCCTGTGTTTTTTCCCGGTTTTCCTTAACTATAACGAAAACTAAAAGAAAAACCGTAATTTAAAACCGTACAAAATTCGATTACCGAAAAGATGTTATGCCTACTTGAAAATCGGAACAAGACAGCCTGGACAAAAGAAAAATCACTCTGTAGTAAAAACCATTCCTCGCATTCCATAATTTAAAATAATATTTCGATTTCGATGTTCCGATACCTATGCATATAGAGTGTCTAAGTATCGAATACAAAAATCGCCCGTTTGTAATTATAATACACGTAGCTGTATGCTATAGAACTGACATATCGCATATTTAAACAAATACAGTGTAATCATAACATACTTTATATAATGCGAGATAACATCATATCTTCGTCCGACTCGTAACGGACAATTACATTGATTAAGCTCGCGGATTAATTAAAACGCGTACAATTACATAAATAATTAAAAAAAAAAAAAAAAAAACACCATCTGTAGACAATAGTTGAGTTTAATCCATAATAATAATACTTTGCCGAATCAATAAAAAAAGTAATTTATAACTCGTATAACTATGTTTTACAAAATTAACCATGCCTCCCGAATTTTTTAAACACGTGGAATGGTGGCACCCCCTTCTATCATCAGGCGAATTAACTAGGTATGTTCACTTCGTCTTTACTATAGATTTATTAATATTATAGACTTTTTTTAATAAAAAATTGTTAATACAATAAATTATATGGTTTTTTTGATACTGGATTGATGTCTTTAGAGCATGCATAGATGTTCATAGACTTCATAGGCTTTAAAACTACCTTGTAAAATCTCAATTTTGATGAAAATGTGACTGATGCTCTTTTAGCATAAACCCATTCAAATGAAAAGTGGAGGAAACAATAAGACCGGTGAAATGAGGAGAGGGGGATACGTATACCATTATTCTGACATAAACGCTTCTGTTCTTAATTATGTTTGCCTTATTTTATTACTAATATTAACAATCTGCATAGTCGCTAACGTCGTAGTTGTTCTCACGTCGTTGTATCGACAAACCAGCCCTTATCAGTTCTCCGTCCAGTAGTTTAAATGCACACAAGGCGAAGAATGATAAGTGTTGGTAAGTGATTGTTTTATTTTTTGTCTCTGCCACGTTCCATTTCTGTAATACAAACGAAAAAACCAACGTTAAAAAATAAATAAATAAGACGCGTTAGAGGCTTATTAAGACTTATTTGAGGTCTGTGGAAAACATTTTAAGAAGAATTTAAAATTCACTATCGTAATAAATATAAAAATTTGTCTAACAGTGAATAGATCATAAATAAAATGTTAAAATAAACAATTAAAGTGTAATTTTTGTGTACACATTATTTTCGTAAATTTTCCCGTTTTTCCCAATTGTTATGAAAACCGCTTGAAAAATCAAAAATAACCTTTTAAATGAGCCAACTAGAAAAATTCTCCTTTCAGAAAAGATATACTTGATGCATGGGAGTAAGATTTCTGGTAGAAAAATTGTTCACAGTTTATTTAAAAAAAAAAAAAAAATTATAAAATAAAATAAACATCATTGTAAAACCAATATATTCCTCGCTACGCTCCGAATCTAAAATCGATCCGACCGTCGAGATTAACGGAGGCCATATTACAATACGTACGAACGATCTTCGTTCGGTCGAGTCATTTTTTTCTCCGTTTCTCGACGTGACTTCGGGTCGCCGCTGTCAGTATTTTTTTACGATTTTAATTGGCAGTCGAGGCAAACATAATAATTCACCGGTACGATGATTTGTTTTTTTTCCCCGTATTTTCCCGACGGCAGCGATAGTAATATTAATAATGTACACCCGGTAGTTATGTATAGGTACGTATAACAATAATAATATTACGACAGTCGTGGTCCCTCAACGAAAAATTGAAAAAATGAAACAAATAGAACCCCCCCCCCCCGGTAAAATATTTATATTTTTTTTTATAATAATTATTATCGCGTACACTGTAATTTAATACATTCGACGTGAAGCTGATGCCACATTTTTTTCGGCAATTTCCAACAAATCCACGTGAATATTGTTGTATGGGCCCAGTGTTGTGTTTTAAAGTTTTTAAAGTTGTTATAGGTATAGATTCTCTGTGTCCAATATCATTAACATTACAACGATAAAAGTCCGATAAAAATATCGCCAACTACTTTTGTCATTTTTTTAAATTCTACGAAATAAGGGGTAAAAAATTCACGGTTTTTTTTTCGTTGTCCCCTTTTTTCCATTGTCGACTGTTGTTGAATCTCCCGATTTCCTCCTGAAAACATTGACGCACAACCAAAAATATAGTATAGTTAGTACTATTAGTATTCACCTGATGCGGTACTCTGAAGATTTTTCACAAATTGTTTCAGTCGGTTGGCGGTGTGCGAAAAGTGGGATTTTTTCTACCCATCTGACTATTGATTCTCGTCCTCATTTGTTGTCTCGATGTTAATTTGTCTGTATATCTGAAAAAAAAAAAACAAACAAAAATTTCACCGGTATAGTTTTTTTTTTTTTTCAATCTCGCATTGTTTTTGTGTACACAACTGCAATACATTTTGTATAGTTGTCTCAATATTGTTGTACATTATAGCGGCCGTTATTGTAATTAATAACTGTGTTCCATAATATTTTACTCTCTCTGTCATTTTTTATAACAGACCATTAATTGCAGTTAATTATTTTGTCCATTGCGGTATTTTAGGATGACGACGACGCTTATATCTAAATACTCTGTGTACGCTCAGTAATATATGCATGTAATATAAGCCTATTTAATTATTTTACTATACAATGACATATATATATATATTATTGACAAAGCATCACTATCAACTGAACTCCGCTCACAATGGTTTATCGTTGCTTGCACGTATACATTAAATTACCTATAATCAGCGGCTGCACCCGTCCCTATTATCCTGCGTATTATGTCTTTTTCTAAATGAAAAAAATTCAATAATTCATTGTTAATGTCCTTGAAAGTTTGAGCCCCCGCAAATAACGCACTCTGGACCCGTGTAGTTCCGAGTTTCAGTAGTGACATCCTTTATCACGCTAAGCCATGTCCCCTTGTGTGTTTGACGCGACACCAAAATCTGTCAGTTTTTTAACGGCCACTAACCAAAAGGAAATTCGCCGGTTCGAGATCGGAATGTACACAAATAAAAATTAACTTTACATATAACCTACTGTTTTATTTTTATTTTCGTTATTAATGTTTTATCGTCACGCATACGTATATATACACGTACACAGATGATGTGAATTCAATTTAATCGGTTTGTCGTCCCTTCCAACTCGCCTACCGAACAGCGGAACATATACACCCGTCGTGTATTGTCGGCCGTTATTTTATTTACGCGATAATTTATGCGAGACCGGGCCAATTTAATAATAATTAATTATTGTAAATTATTGTTGTTATAATAATATCGCGAACGTCCGCTTTTATTGACGTACTGCTCACGCGCAATACACACAGCAGCCGGCCGCATGAAAAAATATCATTTTATTATTATTGTATAATCTGTTGTCGCATACGAAACATTTAATTACAGACGCCATGTGTCAACGGCATTCGTAATATTATACCAACGCTTTTTTTGTCTTTGAGGGGTCGACGCTCCCACGTCGTCGTTGTCGCCGTCGCCGCACATTACGTACCAATTAATCGGTCGAAACAATTTTTTCATTCCAAGGACGCATAATATTTTATTTCAGATTCAGAGCGAAGCGAAGAAGCCTTATGGTTTTACAAAGATGTTTATAATTTTTTTTTTTTTTTTTTCTGTGGACAACTTTTATACCAGAGATCTTGCTCCGATTTTTAAGTGTTGCTTTCTTTCTAAAAGGAAACCTGACTGGGAAGGTACTTTAAGGAGGTCATTTTTTAATGTTCCCGGGATTTTCCCCAGCAAACGTGAACAACTAGGGAAAAAACACGGGCGAACCGAGAAAAACGAGAAAATCGGTATATCATACAAATATTATTAGAGAAAATATATAATGCCTGTTTAATTATTTTACTATAATATGACAGATATATTGTTGACAAAGCATCATTATCAGCTGAACTCCGCTCAGAATCGTCTTTTCGTTAGCAACGGTTCATCGTTGCTTACAGGTATAAATTCAAATACCTAAAACAGTGGCTGCCCACCCGTTTTCCTAGGACATCTTTTGTACTTCTGTTATTCGTTTCACGTATAATTCAAATCGTATATTTGATATTGGTTATGTTTTTCATTATTTAAAAAACAAATCCTTCAGGATATTAATATGGATATTATTATACATAATAAGGATATCCCTTATTATATTATTATGTAATTTTATTTTCTGTTTTCTCTGTTTGTTATTTTTTTATTATTATTATTATACGTTAATATACACCAAACTCTGAAAAGTAAATAATAACGTTGTCGACTGTAACATGAGAAACCGTTTCTGTTTCAGATTCTGAGCATAGCTTACACGATATTACGATGCGTGATAAATTTTTTTAGATCGTTTTTTTTTTTTTTTTTTGCAATACCTACAGCGGTACGCGGTACGTTACGCAACTCGTCGGGGTGGCAATAGGTTTTTACGCGCGTGTAGAAATCTATCGGGAGAACAAAAAAAATCGAATGCGATTTTCGCCGCTCTGTTGCGTTATTACGGCGCGCGTACCACCAACCCGTACGATCGTCGGCACGTTTCGGGAGGGAGCGTTCGGGCGGGTTTTATGGGAACGTGGAGACCGGCGGTTCGGACAACAATGGTGACAATTTGAAATGACGTGCAGCGCACAAGAGGCGCGGCACCGCGCGCCGCACAATAGGGGCGGCCGATCCGTTTTCGATACGCGGTTCCCGCGCATAATATCCGTGCGTACGTGAAAACGCTTAAAACCGAACCCCGGGGCGCCGACCGGGACCGCCGGGACCGTTCGTTTACGCGCGTCCGCGGCCCGACGAAAAACGCACGCGGCGCCGCTCCTCCGCGGCAATAACGCGAAACGACCGCCGCGCCGAGAATCGCGTTGCAGCGGCGTGCGAGCGCGCCCCGACGCCGCGCGCCGTGCCGTTTCCACGGGTTCGGCGGTTCCCAGACCCCGGCCGGCCGGCGCGGGACCGTCGCCGCGTCTGCGGCCGCGCGTATATTTCCGTGCGCAAATTACGTTTCGGCGCGCGTATATTGTCCGGAGAGAGTTTCGTGGGTCCCGGGGGGGGGGGAGAGAATTCCGCCCTCCGTTACGCGGGGCGGACTTTGTCCCCTCCCGAGACCCACGTCTCGTAGTATACGTACAGCACGACCGAAACCCACCGGCCGTCCGCGGCGAGGCCTCGATGTTGTTCCCTCTCGCAAACCAAGCCGCCGGTCAGGCTGCACGTTCATAGATACATCACGTACTCCACGTGCTTGTGCGTTACATCACAGACGTATCTTGTACGCAATACCGTACGGGTTTCCGCGAGTTTTTCCGCGGTCATCGAGAAAACCGCCGAGGGAAAACGCGGAAAAAATTACCTCCCCCGGCTATAGAATATTGACGTTATCTGACGTGTTATCGACGAACACGCGACGGGTACGAGTGATCCGAAAAACGGCTTCGATTCGAACTGATTATCGTGGGCGGTTGATTGAATTTTTTTTTTCCCCGAGCAAATGTCCCGTTTTCCGAAAGACGCGTACACACACCGACGCGCTTCGGCTGCGGCCTACTCTGCGTGCACCGGGCGCCGGACGATTTACGTTTAGGTATCTATTGTATTAATCTCGTTTGTGACTTGAACGCCGACTACGGAAACGAAAAATAAAAAAAAAAAACACACACACAAAATTCCTCTTCAAAAAAAAAAAAAAAATCGCTCGGCATTCGGTAGCCTCTCGCGTCGTGTTTGTATACTTCGCCGGAGGCTGTACTAGACGATCATTATAATGTTTACTTTATACCCGAGTATATTTATCGTTAACGGACGCGGCCGTTCACTATTATTATTTTTTTATTTCCCCGCGTTTCTGTCGTTCCGGCTGCGTTATAATAATAATAACAACAACAGTACTATACTCGTGTTTAAATTTTCGTGTACATAGGTACTCTTAAAAATACAACGCGTGTTTCCGAGACGTTTGTCGAGGGAGAGGGGAAAAAAATCGTTTTCCCGAGTTACGAACAGCCGTCGTAGCGTATACTAGTCGTTTCCGCGTAATGAAATTCAAAAACTAAACTGGGAATTTAAAATCGTTGTTTTTAACACGGTTTACGGACTGCTGAATTCAATTTCCTTTGTTTTTTTTTTTTTTTTTTTTTTTGTCAGACCCGCGTATACGCGTGTATTAATTAAACGCGAAAATAAATAAAAAAAAAGAAAATTAAAACGCCCGTACCTATAACGCAACGTCTCTATAACAACCGGCGCAGCGCATACAGGGTGTAATTGGACTATTTTACATTTGTGCACGTAAATAAAATGTAAATAAATGTCAAATAGTCCTGTTACACCCTGTATATAGCATAACGTTATTACACGATATAACTGCGCGCATTGTCGTCGTCACCCTATATATTATAATAACAATAAGGCCAATCTATCGTACGATTCCGGAAACGAACAAAAAAATATTAACGCCCAACCGACTTTCCAATGAAAAAAAAAAAAAAAAAATTAATATCGCGCGACCCCCGTGTGGTAGCTGTTTCATAGGAATAACGCTTCGCCGTCGTCGAAACATTCTAACTGTTCGTTGTACGGGGATTTGAGATTGTTATTTTATTATTTTAAGTTTTTATCCGGTTGTGCACGTGTGGATAACATACAATATCGTTGTTTCGGCCGAGAGAGGAAATGTGCAGCTCGGAAATCATATGGACCGTGGTTCGTGATAATAATATCGTATAAAGTTGTACCCGATGAACAGAAAAAAATAAAAATCGAAACGAGTCGAACGGGATGTAATATGTATATAGCAGAAGTTTTTTTTCGAGCATACTTTTCAAGTTCGAATTTTGACGAGAATCTCGCGAAAATGCGATTTTTTTTTTTATCGCGTTTAATCGACCGGAAAAATCGTATTTTGTCACTAACGGTTTATCATCGCCGTATTACGGAAATAAATCGAACAAATTTTTAAATGTCGTATCTTCCAATGACTTTGCACGCTTACGAAAATGGCACGGCCGTCGGCAGTATCGCGGCTTTTTGTATACGTAAAAAAAAATTCAATTACCGCGGCTCGCGTTAAAACTTCGCGGATATACATTATATACTTACACCCCTCCCTTTACATGTAACTGCAATGTAAAAATGTCAAATAGTCCTGTTACACTCTGTATATATATATAGATAGATTCCATTCGTCCTTAAAATATAAAAGAAAATAAACATTTGGATACGTTTTTCAATTATATTGTTACTTTGTTAATAATTTTACGATCGAACTATGTTTATAGTAAAATTAACTATTATACTATATAATGCGGTATTTACAAAAAATATAACGTTTTATAAACGAAAACGTATTTGTTTACGATGAAAAACATTTTGCATTTCTTATCTGTTTTACGACCCCGGTTATCGTTAAATTTAAAAGGGGTAAATGTTATAATGTTTTAGTGGTGGAGCTCGATCTCTAGGCGGCGTTATTGCGAAAACGCTAAAAACAAGCGAAACCGTCGACGGTAACGAATTATTTGTCGCTGTTAATAATATAACGTGAACGAAAACCGAACGACAAAAACAACTTGTAGGTACCTGTACATTATTAACTTGACCATAGAATTGTAAAAAAATATTCAAGTTAAAAATCGGTTGATCATTATAAGAATACATAGTAAACGATATTTATCTATTAAATTTTTAATAATAGTAATTAGTAGGCTTCGTGGCCAAATCTCGTTGGTTGAAAAATTGATCCCCCCCCCCTCCTTTAAGACCTTTAAACGGATACACAGTTTTATATTCCGACGGCATTGTCATATAATGACAATAAATTATATTATACGAAACAAATATGAACTTGAATCGACAAAACAGTGTTCGTACATCGGTGAAACAATACGAAATCAAATAAAACTCGAGTTTTAAAATTTTTTCCGAAAACAAAAAACTAAGGATTAATCAAATTTCTAAAAAAAATTTGAAATCGTACAGAATAAATCTGTACACAGGTTCTCAGAGTTTTTTTTTTCGCATACCACTCGCATGTGTATTAATTGATCTGTCACGCACGAGTACACGACTGTTGCGACTATAAAAATTGAACTATATTTAAAATGTCTAGATATTGTTCAAAGCGATAAAATAGAGTATAAGAATAACACCAAAAATACTAAAATTATACATAATTTTATAATAAATGAACTTATACATTTTAAATTTTCAAACGAAATTTCCATAAATTAAAACAATTTATAGCGTATATTGTAGATCCGTTAAAAACACAAGTTTTTTTCAAATATTTATGAATCCATTTTCCGTATACTATCCATTACCGAAAGTGGCAGCACAGCAATGGGGGGGGGGGAGGATTCACGTAATAATATGTATTACTTGAATCAAGTAGTAATATTTCTTAAAAACCAGAACCCGTTTATTTGTTATGTGCAGTTTTAAACATTTCGGCTATAAATTTTACCAAGATTTTTTTCGCCTCCGAAAACAATATCTCTTTTTTGAGTAAAAATGCTTAGAGTTTTTCGTATCGTATATTATATTATAAACTGTAAATTATTACTTTGTCGGATACATTTTTCTAGGTTCCCGACAGATTTTTAGACAATTTAAAAACAATTCACTGCAACTGATGAAAAAACACGAAACAAACACGCCTTACTCCGGTCGCAGAGCTCATTATTAGCAATTATCGTTGATTTCGAACGAAAAATCTGTTTTTTTTTCTTTTTTTAACGGAAAATACTTTTATGATCAGTGTAAAAACGCTCTGATTTTGTCGCGTCTGCACGAGGTTCGGCTGTACGAATCTCGAGTGCGCGTTTTTTCACACACACACACACACACACATACACATACACACGTGTACACCATTATTATTATTATTACAATATACGACGCTGACGATGTATGTTGAAATATTGTGTTTAAATTTTTTTTTTTTCTCGAGGAAAAAAAAATCACAGACATATAATACGTGACTATAATAATATGGGCGTCCGACGGCGGCGACGTCGTCTCCGTCACCGTTTCTCACAACACACACACACACACACACACACACACACACATTTGGCGGACCAGCTGAAAATGTTTAAAACCGGCGGTGGCGCAGCTGTGTCCCAGAGGGGGTGTCTCCTCTTTTGTGCGGTTCAAAAGAAATGTACATACGCACACTCACACACACACATACACATACACACACAATATTATATATATAATAAAATACCATATATTGTGTATGGGATATTATAATATATTATTATTATTATATAGTCCCCTTCGCCAGCACCCGGTCTGCACATCACAAAAACCGAAAAAAAAGAAAAGATTCCCTCATCTGTGCCGGGACGCATTCCGATCGTTCACACACACAAAAACAGCAGAGATAGTATGTCAGAGACTAGGTACTTGCTATATAATATAATATCATATATACCGTCGTCGTAAACAATATAATATTATGGGACGTGCACTCTTATTATTATTACTGTACTTGAGGGGAATGGAAGCGATGATTTTTTATGCCTTTGTCTTACACGTGGGCGGGCATCATGTATATGACATTTTGACGCGTTCTATTGCCAGCCGTACCGCGATCGGTGATCTATAACACAGTGAAGCGATAAGAATATTCCGAAAACGGATTTGTTCGTCGAGTTTACCGTTTTCCGATTTTTCGATTTAAATTTCCCCGAGTATTAATGTGTTCCGGTTAGCATTTTTAGAGGGATAAAATCCAAAGTGCGGTAAAGTGGATTTCCAGCAGGCACTTGACGAGAAATTCTTATTGGCTTCACTAAACAGATCAACCGGTACGTTGAAATTGGAACGCGTCTAAATTCATGTACGGCGCATCGCGCGTGCAAGACAAAGGCAGAAAATTACAGCTTCCAGTCCACTTAAGGTAGTCATCTCCTCTACCATAGACTTATATCGTGTTAAAAATATTATTTATCTACATCATTCTACTATATCTTATGTATTATAGCGAAACACTACACGCACACCACGAAATTATTTCCAATTATCACGACGACGGCGTAAAATAAATTGTCGTTCAAAAGTATAATATTACAATAATAATTATATAGCTGCTGCGTGATTAATAATTTGTTCATATAGGCGAAGTGGATGGGATATAATTTCTAAAATCGCGTTATTTCGTCCCCCGGGGAATTAAAAATACTTTTCTAGCTCCGAATATCTCATAGTTTGAATTCAATTAGCCGTTTGTTTCAGAACCGTTAAACCAAGTTTTTTATTATTATTTTTTTTAATGATATACGCTAGGGAAATTAATATTCTAAAAACTAAAAAAAAAAATGCAATTCCAAAAATATTGAATATTGTGCTATGAAAAAATGTTAAAATACTAAACGACAGTACCCAAAACCCAATCGTTTACAAATATCGACTCATTCTGGAAATTCACTATACTGTAGATGATAATTTATTGCGATTAGCCTTATCGTATTTAACCTTACAGAGTGACCTATTCGTATACATCTAGTGTAAAATATTTTAAAAGAAGGATAACATAAAATATAAGAATGACGTATTTACAGGCAGTATGTAGATTAAACAATTTAGTACTTCCTGTTCATAATACATTTCCGTGTCTATATTAATATTCTCATACATAATATACGTATTTCTTGCTCATTATCAAGTTAAATTATTTAATTTATATCTGTAAACAATGATAAACCCGCCGTTACCAACAAAATATATGGTTTTATATATACTGGAATATTTACGATTTTCGTCAATATTTGATCTTTCCGCATATAAAAACCAAATAGAAATTTAAAAAAAAAAAAATCCGAAAATGTAAAATAACTGTAAACAGCTCAAAAAGCCACAGTATATTTCGACGAATTAACCGCGCCTAGAAAATACTAATATAAGTATTCTGTGAAAATGTCAAGTCTCTACGAATATTTTAAATCGAATAACAAAAAATTAAATATTGAAAATAATGAAAATTTCCCCCCCCCCACCAGTTTTGCTCGATTATTAAGAACGCTATATACACGGAAAATCGAAAAACAACTATCCCCGTAAACTATAGACGCTACTCTTGGAATTTGACGCGAGATTTCTAATAGAAAACAAAAACGGAACAAATTTGTTAACGCCGTAAACTTGTCCGTTATGTCGCGTTCCATTAATTCATGGACTATACCATATATACGGCAAGCTGGTTACATGGGTACAAATATCGTTGTAAGAACAATCGGCGGAAAATCATCAACTCTGCAACATTCTACGTAAAATACCAACCAGGTTTTCTCGGGTATATGGTTAACCGCGCGTTTTCCTAGTCGCTCCAGCGCTATTCCCGTGTGCACGGGCCGATAAAAATATTATAGACGACGGAAAAAAAAAACAGTAGATATACACGGATGACTGCGGGCAAAACACAACGCTTTCTTTCCGTTCGGTCTCCTCCGTTCCCCGGTACCTTGTCGAATTCGGACTAGCGGCGCGACAGGACATGGCACACCGGGACCCGGTGTCATAATTTTTAGGCAAAATACGAATTGTGTAACTGTACTTCGTCCGAGTAGACTTTTATGATGATTTTTCTCTACAGGATGTACGCAAGGTACATACAGGTTATTAATATACATCATAACGTGTGAATATTATACTCCAAAAAGTCAGATATATAAGTAACAGATATTTTAAACTATTCGTATTTCTTATGAGTTTGCTGAAAAATACGGAACGGTTTTCCCTCGAAATTACACTTGTTCACTTCGCTCTCCTAAAAGTTACCTATCTGCGCACAACATTCAGTTTACACTCGTATACAACCAATAAAATCGTCCATTGGTGGACTTATTCGCTTTTAAAATTTGACTTACGCGTGCACGCCAAATTTTTTCAATATTAGACATATAGAAAAGTCTAGGCTCTAGACAATTCGATAAGTATTACGACCTAGAAAGCAAAACTTTCAACAGACACCTCGATTTTCGCAGTGAGGAACTTCAACCAATCCCCGATTGAACCAAAGACCGAGAAAATTTCGACGGGCCGCGTATAATTATAATTATTTTTGTTGTTAATTAAATTGTTGTCAATTTTATATATTTAGTATAATTTAGTGCTGGTGACAATTTTAAAACTAGATGGGCCCGTATATTCCCTATCCAGTGTTTGCTTCACCACAAACACGTTATAATATTTGTATTAGTATAATATGTATTGATTATTGTAGGTAAAATACTCCGCACATGTGATACGTGTTGAACATCAGATCAGTTTTGTTTGGAGAAAACGATTGAAAAATTCGAAACGTATTGTCCTGTATACAAAAGAGAGAGATAAAAAAAAATTCGTATTCATTTCCCCGAGGGCGGCGGAAATTGTCGTCATATAGGTATTATTTACACAACGGGATTAAATAAAAACACGTAGCGTAGACGTATACAAAAAAAAAAGGAAAAAAAGAGAGAAAAAAAAAGTTATTTTCACTACGAGGGACGACCCGAAAGGTCGACACGCGCACATCGCTTTATCCCCTTTTGATTTATATTATTTATCGTATTATTTTCAGATCTCTCCGTGTTTCTCTACATCCGAATATCCTCGTCTTATATATTTTTAAGCCCGTCCCTCAACTCTCGGTCCGCTATAACCATTGTTTGTGCGGCCACACAATAACCGGATTATGGCGTGTGCAACGGTTCTTATAATACAATATCGGCGTGTACGGACGAGACGGAAACCAAAGACCGAACAGACACTTGCGGGGATTGTTTCGAAACGTCGAAAATAGTTTTCAAATAATAAATATACGAGTCGGTGTTATATGTATACGGCCGTGTATAATACCGATGATGCGCGTCGCTGACAAACGTACGGCCGAACGAATGTATATTCTGTTAAGAAAAGAAAACGGAGAGTGAGGAGAGGAAGGAGGAGAAATGACAATGTAAACACATCACATCCCTTAGTAAACACCGGTTACACGTGTTGTGTTAAATAAACGCTATAAATCCGTCCTAAATGCCTACTTGTTGAAGTCATGTATGTTTAGGTAGATACCTATTATCGAACGTATATAATATTATAACCTATAAAGATAAACACGCGTCAGAGTATAGAGTAATAATTATTGTTCGTTCTGATAACACTGAGTCACTATATAATATTGTAATATAATGAACAACAGATTAATCGCGCGTAGTCGCAGCATAATACTATAATATTACAACATTATTAACGCGTTTAAAAAAAAAAACATCGTAAAAACCGAATAATTTTTTTTTTTTATATTAGCTCAAAATGTAATTTATTATTCGAGTATAACGGCAAATTGAAATGGTATATTATATTAATTGTAACAATTTCGCAATGATCCACGGATCAAACACCGTCATATTATGATAGCGTAGGCGGAAATCTGAAGGGGCTTAAGGGAGGGTAAGCCCCCTCAGATATACCGAATGTATAAGTGCTCACTACTATAAAATAAAAACGAATGTATAATATTATTGTTCAAAAAAAGCATGGTATACGATATATTGTTTTAAACTAAGCGATTTAATTTTTTTTTTTTAGGTGGACATTTTACAATTGTTTATATACCCACAAATTTTTTTAAAATTTGTAATGAATTTTGCCAAGCGCATTGAGCGGCTTTGATACATAATAAAGTAATTCAAAATATCATTCCCCTCTAAAGTCATGGACAATATTCGCCTTTGGGTTACAAATTTACACGATGACCACGATTTTACCTATATTGATTCAATACATTTCGGTGTTTATTATCAACTTCCGTTATAGCTATCTCGTTACTTAACAATGATTTATCGTTGCTTATTATATAAATTTATAAATTAAATTACTCTATAATATTGTTTCGAAATTTCCACTTAATACCTTAATCAACTTAAAAAAAAAAAAAAAAAAAAAAAAAACCAATCGAAATAGTTTAGTTTATTGAAATGACGTCACCCGGTCCACGGTTTAAACCGTGCCGCGGTCTTATCTGTACCAATAATTATATTATTCGAAAATAATTAAGACAATACAATATTATATTCGAAAGTGTTAAATGTATTAGTTATTATTTCATTAGATAACATTATAATAAGTAAGCTACCGGTGCTGCTGTAGCAGCTCTACATCGTGTCATGCGTATTATCAACAAATAAATAAGCTACACACGATATAATATTAATAATTATTAAACTGCAGCCATTATACCGAGTCTATAATGTAATGTATATTTCTTCCTATTTCCGGTTGTACCGCGAACGTATTATTTTTTCTCTCTGATTTAGGTACTGCAGTTTAGAACCGCGTTTCTCAACCTGCATATGGTCACGGCCTGAAATTGGATCGCGGATAATTTTGAATGGGTCGCCAACAAATTAAAACGTTGGTGTAATATTTTTGTTTTGGACTACACGCAGTATGAAATAGTTTTGAAAATAATTAATAAAATATTTTTCTTGACAAACAATTATACAAGTTCGTAATTTTGGGACTATGGTCTTTCAATGCTGTAAACATCGAAATTCATGGGAATGATGAAATTTGATATGTTATTGATATCTTATCAATTATCACTATTGCGAACTTGACAAGGTACCTATTGCTCGTTTAGTTGCGTACATCGTTTAAAAAATAAATGAAAGTTAATTTGGTGAAAATGAAAGACCATTTAACTATGATCATCGAAAAATTAAGCGTGTTTGAGTAAGGAGGGTAGCCCCCATTGAAAATTATTTTAAAATAGGTCACATGAAAAATTGAGTAAATATCATAGGTCACCAACACGCACAGGTTGAGCACCGCTGGTTTAGAACGGACGAATAAAAAGCTATTTACAATATAATTATGTATTCATTAGTCATTACTCATTAATTATTATACACTGAAAACTTTTTATATATACGAAAACAAACGCCCGATACTGCTGATGAGCATGCCGTTATTATATGAGAGAAATCAGTGGATAAAACCGTAGGTAATTTAATTAAAATTTTTAACGATAAATGTGACAATAAACCATATTACTAACAAAAAACGAATTCTGAGCAAGTATTATTAATCGTATATTTTCTCTAGTTGCCAACATGGCAACGTCACTTAGAAATCAAACAAAATTATACGAAAGGTTGTTAGTTTTTCCCACTTATTAAGAAAAACTACAGGGTAATTAAAAATTAATTCCGTCAGGGTCAGACAAAATCATCTTTCAGAAAATATGCTACTATTGAAATTTGGAGTGAGATATTTGGTAGAAAACAAATGTCGAAAACACTTAAAATAATGAAATGGTCAACGTTGTAAATTTGTCAAAAAAAAAAAAAAAAAAAATTACCTCCTCAATACACCAACTAGATCGAAAATACTATAAAAAAAAAAATGATTGCAAAATATGCAATTAGAATATCAGGGGCGAAGTGGCCAGTTCGAAAATGAGAATTTTTCAGATGGTCCAGACTGGGTAATAGATATTTAAATTTGCAAGTGTTAATATAAAAGCGGACTACTAATTGATTCTTTATTAAAATTAACTCAATATAGGACAATTTAGTTTATATCAAACTTATACAGTATTAAACGACGAAACAAACCGAAAGGAGATACTGAACGTGTTCAGTAAAATTTGTTTGTTAATAGATTTAAATTTAACATTCTATTAATCTGTAACAACAAATCATTGCTCGTTATAAATTGTTTGTAGAAAAATTAGATTGGCACTAACGTGTCATTTTATTGGGTGACCAGGAATTAAATTTCAACCGGCCGGCCTGAATTCGGTATTTCGTCATTTTAAATACTCCTAGCGCATTACGATCCCCTGTTTGTATACACATCCATTAGGTACCCACCTACATACGCTTGTGATAGTAAAAATATCATATTTACGCAGAGGCGCCCGTTTTACGGGAACCGACAATATTTTTTTATAGAAAAAAAAAACATTTCAATATTTTGGAAAACTTATTCGTATATAATATATAGGTAATATAGAAGCAAAAAAAAGAAGAAAAAAACTTTAAACCGACGAATCGTACGGACGAAAGCGCACATACGAGTTACAAGAGTATACATACGAATATAAAATACGAGACGTCGGTAAAATATTATATTTGTATAGAACGGCCGCGATAAGATGTACACACGCAGTTTCCGCGAGGTAAGTAATACGAGTGTATACGTATCACTGTAAAAAAAAAAATAATATATATAAAATAGTAAAAAAAACAGTATCGATATCGGAAAATATTACTTAACATTATTTGTATTTTGTATTTTACGAGTTTCTACATGGATATGAGAGAGTATATTAGGCAATATACGTATATATGTGTATATGTACGCTAACAGAAATAATATACTTCCCATGTTACAATATTACATATATTGCTCCCTACAAGTACCTATGTGCGCGTAGGAAATGTGGTTTTATATTTTTTGCGTACACGGTGCATCATGCGGGATTTGACAATACCCTACACGGTTGTGTGGGTAGATTATCAGGCCATTATTATAGTAGGTAATAGACAGCATGATGTACATTTTTACTATTCCGTTTATAATGTAAAATCGTTTTTCGTTTTTTTTTTTCAAAATTAAATTACCCCGTATATTGCCCTCTCTCTCCCTCCCCCCCCCCCGTCTAAACTATACGCTCGCATAACTGCCCACCAACGATTTATGACATTGCGAGTCTGCCCGTGAGCCATATCGGTTATCTGTATAAATTAATCGTTATTCTTGAAAAAGGACAGGGGACCATGCGCACAATACAATGTCGAAAATGGCGCGAGATTTAATATCAAAAATAATATATTATTTATACGATTGTGTTGCGGTGACATTTTCGTTTGAAAACGTTTAATTTGAACGCGGCAAAAACGGGCCTATTATGGAAGAACGCAGTTTGTTTGTGTATACGGTTAGGTACGTATATATATATGTATATAGATCATGTTCGCAACATATGGACTTTCGCAGCGATCGTAAATCAAACGGTTTTTGATGGGTATGAAAAAAAAAAAAAAATAAAACCGTCGCCGGCGGTCGAACGACTCCAGCCGTACAAACACTTACACGCGAAATATCATTGTTATTAAGTGTTGCGCGCGGGGTCGGCGGAACGGCGTCGCCGCCCTGCCGGACGTCTCGCGACGTGGCAAAACGCGTACGAAAAACGACCGTGCGCGGCACGCTGCGGGCGCGCGATATGCCGAAAAAATAAAAAAAAAAACCGGGCAGTGTCGCGGTCGTCTTCTCGCGGGCGACGCGAAACGAAAAACTACGCGTTACCTACGGAAACCGGATACGACCGGATAGGCTGCGGCCGTGCCGAAACGCGGGCAAACGGGCCGTTGTAAACGCGAAGTGTGAACGACGGAGTATTTATTCATTTTTTTCCAACCGTGCACACGTTCGCAGATTTTCCATTTTGGGTCCCGGTGTCTGTATAGGTCCGGAACGGTTTTCCGAAAAATTCTTACTCTCCGAACAGTGGTGGGCAAAACGAAAATCACAAATTAAATACTTATACGGCCGCGCGATTAGAAACGCATGTTAGTTGAAAATCGACGTATTGTCGATCACGACTCGATGGTGTACCTCGGTTAATTTCTGTGATTTTTTTTTTTTTTTTTATGTGGTTTTTCCCATTATTGAGAAACCTGAAGATCAAAAACGACTCCCTTGCACACCGACTAGACAACATTTTCAACAAATTTCTATAGATATGAATTGAATTCCCCTCTATAATATATTATTCTACCTTTCCGACTTTTCACCAACAACAGTGACCCACCGTATAATAATACAATACAGTAAAACCAATGTAGCCGAGTTCGCCGAGTTCGGAATCCGATACGCGTCAAACGAATTTGTTTTTGGAATTTATCGTCAACTTACCCCCATCGTCGTGGATAAATTAAAACTTTGTTTTCGTCGACGAGGGTGCCGGACTGCCGCGGTGAGTTTGTGTACAACTGCTATAGGGTGAGCGAAACGGACACCACGTGAAATATTAACGGCTGGGTCGATTGGTTTCGAAAATTCATTACTACCTAAATAATACCATACGTGCACAGGTACACTCGGCACGGTGGCGACTCCGTGATAATAATAATAAATAATAAAACTAACGCCGACGGCACGGCGGTCATTAATTATCGTCCAACACAATGGAAAACTATTCGATTTCCTCTGCCCTTTGCGCATTTGTTTGTTTGTAGCTTTTTGTCAGACGAGTGTAAGCAAAAAAAAAAAAAAAAAAAAAAAAAAAAAA